CCCCCAGCAGTCAGGCCACTGGTCATTTTATCAAAATAAACCTCCACCCAAGCAGTCAGGTCACTGGTCAGTTGAGTCACCGCTTGCCAAACAAGGCGATACTTTTCTTTGAGAAAATAAGCAACTCCATCAAGCAATTATCAAAATGAATGAAGTTCGATAATAAAAAACGTGGGTCAGAACATTTTGAAAATGTTTGATAAAGTTTGTAGGAGTAATTACTTAGGTCTTTCACTGTTTACTATTCATTGAAATTATCCAGGTTTTATACAATTTATATGTAATACAACATGATAAATACATGTACCGCACTACCGTGTGATGCAGTGTAACTTCCCGTTTAATATTTACAGCATTCGTACAACATCATCCAGATGACATTTAATAATTTATGACACAAGTTCCTCTTTGCGGCCCGGCCAAATCACACTCTCGAAGTAGATATCTAACACCGCGGGAAACTTTAGGCTAATTTGATCAATGAAAACATATTTTACGTATCGTTACGAATATGGAGAAAGATGAATTAAATATCCATCCTTTGGTTTTGCAAACTTAATGAAACGTATCTCGATGAGCCGGTTACTGCGAAAGCAGCTAGGCTGTTCCAAATATGTTCCTAGCTGAAGACCTCTTGTGTTAGAAAAAAAAAACGGTTCATAGACTGATTGGATTTGAATTTTTTTTATGAAGCGAATAAATAAGAAATGTTAAGATAACTTTAGTTGTTTTTATCTTGGTAAAGTTTGGAGTTGAAAACACTCATTTTGACATCAGAAATAACAATACAGAAATGTCGTCATTGTATTGTGACGTCGCCATTAAGACCTTGATACTAGGAAAGCATGTTAACCTATATTTATCTTGTAAATCGAGTGTTCGGTGTGTTTACTATATTCATCCTATTTGTATTCGCGCGAACTACGCGCAAGGGTTGTGTGACGTACAAAGGGCACATGGCGTTGTCTATTACTCACATGTCCTAGGTTCTGACCCTGGTCGGTCTACATGTGTTACTGATGCTGACCTGTGGCGTGTTTACCGTACTGATTCTTGGATACCGTTACTTAGTTCACATGTACTGTATTTACATATTCACCGTGTTGTTCTCAGTAATATCGTATAGCTGGTACACGTATCATGAATTTGTGGATGAATTATTATCATAGTTTTTATTTGTATTTCATCTTGCTTGATACCATCCATAACGGAGGTATTAGTTTTTATCATAAAAAAAACTTAAAACAACTCTTTAACCTCTTAAAACGTTTTTAAGTGCTACTTGTTGGATTCATCGTATGGAATTTTTATTAAGGTAAAGAAACATGAAAAATGTCTGCAGAGAGTTCTTTAATTTAGTTTTTCCCGAATTGTACACTATTTCGCCATTTTCCCCATTACTTTATTTCATGACCCAATACCTTTGATTGGGGCAAGTTTTTAAAACGTGAGCTGCAGCAGTAAAGAGAAATTCATTTAATGAGTATTTATTATGGATCCAAGGAATCCTTATTATGAAAGTATATAACTTAATGTTCAACAAGTTCCATTAACGATGTCACGGTCACCCTAAAGTCCAACCCCTCGATATGCTACGAAACAACAAATTCTCTTCAGTTCATTAGGTATCTAATCATGCGTAGTTAAATTTCTCTTTTAATTTCTGGGGAGAGGCATACAAGCTACAAACCAATGATGATTATGGCTTTGTGAAACATCAAAATCATAATGAAATGCTTCGGTAACAATTCAATGATGTTATGATTGTTAGGAATAGCTGAACTTAAATTTTATTTATTTTTGTTACATGTACATTTAGTGTTGATATTAAAAAGAATGTTATAAATAGCACGTGATGCATTAAACATATGACAAGTCAAAATGTTTTAATAAATCCAATTGAAGAATAATTAAATGTTCAAAACAGGTTGTAAACAACCATATAGATTCCACATAAAACAAGTTTGAGAAGTAATGGAGAAAACCATCTTCGCTACAACTGTTACATCCGCTACGATCCGGTCAGAAAGTGGATGAAACTGGATCGAGCCGGATCGTACCAGATCTTACCGGATCGTAACACTTGGCTAGCGAGGATTGACAAACGTGGGAAAGAAATGTTACAGTATGTAGCTAATAGAACCTATGATAAACTTAATGTACTGAATTTAAATCATATCATGTTAAAAACAACTTGTAATATATTTCATGTTCCCCGTCTTCCCAGTTATCTTACTGCACATATTTAAAAAGGCTCCATCCTTTCGCAATTAACCAGCTGAATTCTAGTTAATTGCGAAATGTTTGTTTGTTTGTTAATGGGTTTATAGACTCCTTTTCACGGGCGGGGACCCGTGTTCTGGCGTCTCGAGGGGGTAAGTCTCCAGCTTACCGGGCCCTCGGTGACTTGCCCGTCCAGATCACGCCCTAAGGTCGGTCAGCTCCTTAGATGCAGATAGGCTGTCACAGTTACATACAGCACGTATACGGGAGCGTGGAACACGTCCTTTCGACAGCTTCACTGTCCTCCTATGGTTAATTGCGAAAGGGTGAGGCCTCCTTAAATATGTGCAGTCAGATAACCCGCAGCTACTGTATGTAGAGATGATTTTATGAAAATGTAAGCATTCCGATAGACTGGGGATTTGTTTTAAAGAGTTTTCGTCAATTTTAATATTTTTCATTTCTTGGATGTGTGGCATTGTTTGGAACTATAACAACGATAAAATAATGAAGAGAAGCATAGCTAATCAACCCAACAACTAATTTATTTATCACAAAATATGTAAAACACGTTACTCACAGTGCTTTTATCGATCGATGAAAGTAATTATCGACAAGCTAAAAGCAAACAGGGAACATAGTTTCTTACAAAAAGAGTCAAAATTGAAGAAAATATACACGATGGCTTTATAACTAATTAATTTTACATTTTACCATCACTTTGGGTCTGAAAAAAGTGTTGTCTTCCTGGAAAAAATCGGAACTTTTTGCAGAGGGATACAATTTATACAATGGCAGAAATCTCCCTATATATATAAATGCATATAATGATATAAACGTTCACTTGGGACCTTATTCCACATCCCGCTAGCGCATTGTGTATTTGCATGTTAGTTGCATAGGTAATCTGAGGCTGGTGCCGTTCTCAGGTGCACCCGGCCACTCACGCATTTTCATAGGGATCTTGATATTTTACAAAACAATATTTTCACAGAGTTGGTCACTGCATCTGTTCAAGAATTATTTACTCGACAGAGCGTAACTCGATCGACAGCAAACATCGGCTTGTGAACTGTGTGAGCACCGATATGTACATGTGAGGTTGGTATACACAACATGCACACCAGTCCGCATCCCATGCACTTCACCTACGACCTTCTTGAAGTCGTCCGGTCTCGTAGAACTATTTTCATTTAGACATCCAGGGGTGGGTCCAGGTGAGGGCGTAATGGGCGTACGCCTCCTCCCCCCCCCCCCCCCCCCCCCCCCCCTTTTCAAAAAAAAAAGAAGTCAGGAACCGTTACAATAGTGCATTTCACAATTATTTTATGTTTTTTAGCCAAAAAAAAAGGTCCAAAACATTTTTTCGTATCGCTTCGCTCGGGCAAAGATTCGATTCTACACACCCTCTTTCAAATATCCTAGAAACGCCCCTGACATCAGTCTTAGTGCCTTAATATTAACTTATCTAACACCGTTATATATCATTATAGTAACTAAAGTTAAAGTTCAATATGTTAATCTTAAATCAAATTCTATACAGCATCGAGTTCCAATGTTTAAATGGCGTCTTTAAATATGACTTATGAGGTTGTTGAAATGTATGGTGACCATTCTCGTACCATCTTAGGGGAGCGTGTAGAACCTTAATGACAATTGCAGGTCAATGGTATATTTATTTCAGTGTCTTATACCTAAGTGTCCCATTGGAGCAACCAAATAGACCTTGGCCGCATTCCGTTTATCGCGATCCAAACGGTTGAACCGGTGGTACCAGAGTTGCTCGTTTATGAAATAAGGTCGGACCCAGTAATCTGATGCTGCTTCCAGGTGGTGAGCCTTGACAAAGTATTGCAATGTAAGGCCTGCATGAACACTTGCAGTTCCGCCAGGATTTATTTCTGAAAATGTTACATTCAATAAGAGACAAACCGGTTGTTCCGCATAAACGAACAGGCCCCATGGCCAGCTGTCCCCTTTATAACACTTAACATACGTTGACGTTCCTTTCTATCCTACATATTCTACCATTCAACGTCTCCCATGTGTACCTCTATTCAGGTGATGCTATTTCGATGAGAAGACCTTTGAAATTGGCCATCAATTGTAAAGGTTGTCAGTGCTATCCAAAACACTGGTCAACCTTAGCACCCCGTTAGAACACATTTTTAATATACAATGGTATTTTACTATATTGCCAGATTCGAGACCAATAGTATGACATGCCTGATACGGAAACATTGTTCCACTCAATAAATTTGCCATTTTTTTTTCGAATACCTTTCGTTAAATTGGTTCATATCATAAACTTTGACATTTCTAAATTCTTTGTAAAATAATATCTGACCATTTTCGCTTGGTGCTTTTGTATACAGTTTTAAACTTTTACTATTCTGTTTCTTTTTGGTATATGAAGTTCTATAATTATCCCTTATCATTGTTGTCAGGCCCGATATGACTTCGCCGTTGCTGGGACGTTAAGCAACAAACTAACTACTATTGACTATGCCTTGTTTCGCGTGTCCCTGTTTATTCCGTGAAATTTGAGTTTTAAACTTTGGTATTGTTTCTGCAGTCCTTTATGAAGTGTCTAGTGGATTCCATAATTTTAATGTACTAGGAAGGAAAGATTGTTCATATAATACTAATCGATACTTTTGTATTATATAATCTTGGTTATTTCTTAAACTGTATCTACTGATTTCCTTGACTCTATTCGCGACAATGTCGTTTAAATATGATGGCGATAAATTATAATGTTTTTTATGAAATGACTTTTTTTCTGCTCTCGTTTATTCTTAAATTTCTCCCAACCGGTTTCCATATATATAGAGATTGTCTACTTGCGAACGAAGGCAAACCTGTAACTATTCTGGATGCTTCTAGTTGAATTTTATCTATAACCTATCTAAATTTACATTATTACAACCATCCCATACCTAACCTGCATATTCCAAATTAGGACTAATGAACACAGTATTTATCTTAAATAAGATTTCTTTTATTTTCAAGGTAAATTTAAACTTACGTAAAACAGACAAATGTTATAAAGCTGATATGGCGGTACATTGTATTTGAATTATGTGATTTTCATTCAAAGAGACTGATAGGTGTTTGTAAATAGCACTGTTCGTCAACGTTTTGTTATTGAATGTCAAGTGTATGTTAAGTTTTTCTAATAAACCATAAAATGCAAATACATCAGTTTTATTAGGATTAAAAGTAATATTCTATTGCTTTGACCAGTGTTCTATGATGACTAAATCATGATTTATATTGTGTTCAAATTCCATACTGCTATTTGAGGAATATGCAAGTGAAGTATCGTCAGCAAAAATTCTCGATAAAGAAAGTAAGTTTTCATGTTTATCATCAATAAATATCATAAATAGAAATGGTCCAAGTACAGAACCTTGTGGAACGCTTTGGTAAAAGGCAAGTGCGCTTTCCACTGCGCCACCCGACCACCGCATACAAAGTGAGTATAGAGTATTGCAGAGGAGCTTACAGGGGAGAGATTTTGTCTATAAAATAGAGATAGCATGCCTTTTAGTTTCGGCCAAGCACGTCTGGATCCGTCGGCTAAAATAAGCCTGTCGACTTTTTCAAGTGACCAGCCTCGTTCATGTCATATGAATACAACTTCTAGTGTATATCATATACATGTTTGAAGTTATCAGATACAACATTACATCTGAAAGTGGAGGTCAAAGATCAGACGGATAAGGTGAAACATGTGACTCCAAGACACACAGACTAGCTTCCGGAAGTAACCGATTCAGTTCTCTCGAGTTTCGGGTCAGCCTTCGAGTATATGTTTGTCACGTGTCTGACTATGCTCAGAGGTCACGTATCATCTGTAAGTACACATGTGTCCACATAAAAAAAATTTGAAATATTGTTATGTGTAACATGTATATTTATTAAACCCAAAATATTTAATACACTCATGAACTGACAACAAAAGAACAAGACAGGAACGTTATATATATATAAAAATCATGTACAATATAAAAAACTGACATATATATTGCCCGTTTGTATAAAAAAAATATAACATATCAGAACGAAACTTGTTTGTATTTTCAGCCTTTGTCATTTTGGCATTCTCTTTCTCGATTGTTCTCGTTTAAATATTTTAACAAATTACACAGGAAGACAACAAAGACAAGGAGAACGAAAGAATTCACTTTCCATAACAGCAAAACCTGGATATAGCGCCCAGTAAGGGACATATGAAACGACCGTAATATAGGGGGGTATCATTGTAGACAGACATTCAATTCCAGCTTCATACTCTATTATAATAATACAATCACTGGTTTATTTATAAGTCACTGGGAAAATGCTCTATAAGAATTTTGATGCTCTTTATCACATACAGAGTTATCTACCCTTGGCTTTCGCGAAGTACATTTTATGTCCCGATGACGTCATCTCACTGATTCAGTATGATAACCACGTAAGCAGAAAATGAAGGATGCGAATTTGCGAAGTTTGGCGAATATTCTAAGGGAGATAACCACAACGGAGGTTGATATATGTCTTGTTTAAAAGACATCCGCGATTTTGGCCAAAATATCTAGAATAGGGTCATCAATTTCAAAAGAAGGCGCTGACTGTGTATTAAACGCACATCCTGATAGAGTTGCTCGCGTACGTTTTTCCAACTGAATAGCTGTGTCCACGACAACCTCGACGTTAGAATGTGTGACGCCGTTCACGTTGAAGTTTATGTGGATTTGCTCTGCTAATTTCCGCCGATAGAAGTCGCCCCTGTCTCCTGACATTCCGACGTCATCATGACAACCACGGAGATAGGTCTGGACCTGCGCAATGCTGCTGATGCGCCGCTCTTTGATGAGGTTTGTGTTGTTCATCATCAAAATGATCCTCTCAATGGCAACCTGTAATAGCACGTGGTGTATTGTTAACAACCATGGATGTTTTTTTCTCATCGGTAGTCGACACAAAACATTTGTTTTTCTTTCAATAAATGTCGATTTTACAACATTAAAAAAAGTTGTGTAACACTTAGAACAAAGTCAATATACCTGATGTCTTAAATATTTCTCTACAATTCAATACCACCTGATTTGATTTCGAAAATAAAGCCCTGTACCTGTGCAATCCTATTCATTGTCCTGATGGAAGCCATACTGTCCAGCGGGGGTCCGGTGTGATGAGTTCCGGTCGGAGCCCTGGCAAGCTTGTAACCTACTCCGTACGACATTCTGGAATCTGTAGAACATTAATGTATAGGGTAGATTATTGCTCATTTACGTTTTAGCAATATTTTAAATAACACATGCCGGTTAGTTTTGTCAGAAATATATAGAGGAATTAGGAAAACTCACTTTTTTTTTTCATTTCTTTAAAAATAAATAAATGGTGTGTCGTTCGTAATATAGGTTGCAGTCGATGACAGAAGCAAGACAAACGGTAGGGTTGTGATAAAGGTAAGGGTTATGGCAGCACGGTTGTGGTGAGGGTTAATGTTATTGTAGGTTTGTTTTGGCGGTCGCGTAGTGATGAGGGTTATTTTAGGGTTGAGATGGCGGTAGGGTTGTGACGAGGGTTATTTTAGGGTTCAGATGGCGGTAGGGTTGTGCTGAGGGTTAGTTTAGGGTTGAGATGGCGGAAGGGTTGTGACGAGGGTAAGTTTAGGGTTGAGATGGCGGTAGGGTTGTGATGAGGGTTATTTTAGGGTTGAGATGGCGGTAGGGTTGTGCTGAGGGTTATTTTCAGGTTGAGATGGCGGTAGGGTTGTGACGAGTGTAAGTTTAGGGTTGCGATGGCGGTAGGGTTGTGATGAGGGTAAGGGTTACTGAAGGGTTGGAGTGATGATAGGGTTGTGATAAGCGTCAGGGTTATCGTAGGGTTGGAATGGCGGTATGGTTGTGATGAAGTAAGTGATACGTACGTTCTAAGTATGTTTTGAACACAGTAATAGAAAATGTATCGGCGACTTCTCAATAATGTCTGTTTCCTGCGTGAAGCAAAGTGAATCGCTGAAAACAACTAAGCCACAACGTGCCGAATCAGTAAAGTCAGCTGTCATACTAACATCGAGACATTTCGTCCAAATAACACTTTGATACTGCCAACAATCAGAAGGACCGGTGATATGTTTACCTGTTTTTCAATATATATGGCGATATGATTGTGATGAGAGTGAGGGTTAGTATAGGATTGCATTGGCGGTAGGGTTGTGGGTTGAGATGGTGATAGGATTTTGATGAGGGTTGGGGATATTTTAGGGTTGAGAAGGCGATATGGTTGTTATGAGGGTTAGGGTCATGGTAGAGATAGAGTTGAAGTAGGGTTGTGATAAGAGTTATGGTTACCGTAGGGTTGAGATGAGGGTTAGGGGTACTGTAGTGTTGAGATGGCGATAGGGTTGTAATGAGGGTAAGGGTTACTGTAAGGTAGAGATAGCGGTAGGATTGTGATGAGGGTAAGGGTTACTGTAGGGTAGAGAAAACGTTAGTGTTGTGATGAGGGTAAGGGTTACTGTAGTGTTGAGATAGCGGTAGGATTGTGATGAGGTAAGGGTTATTGTAGTTTAGAGATAGCGGTAGGATTGTGATGAAGGAAAGGGTTACTGTAGGGTAGAGATAACGGTAGGATCGTGATGAGGGTTAGGGTAGGATAACGGTAGGGTTGTGGTGAGGGGAAGGGGTACTGTAGGGGAGAGATAACGGTAGGATTGTGATGAGGGTAAGGGTTACTGTAGGGTAGAGATAACGGTAGGATTGTGATGAGGGTTAGGGTAGGATAACGGTAGGATTGTGATGAAGGTAAGGGTTACTGTAGGGTAGAGATAACGGTAGGATTGTGATGAGGGTTAGTGTTACTGTAGGGTAGGATAACGGTAGGGTTGTGATGAGGGTAAGGGTTACTGTAGAGTAGAGATAGCGGTAGGGTTGTGATGAGGGTAAGGCTTACTGTAGAGTAGAGATAGTGGTAGGATTGTGATAAGGGTAAGGCTTACTGAAGGGTAGAGATAGCGGTAGGATTGTGATGAGGTAAGGGTTATTGTAGGTTAGAGATAGCGGTAGGATTGTGATGAAGGAAAGGGTTAATGTAGGGTAGAGATAGTGGTAGGATTGTGAAAAGGGTAAGGGTTACTGTAGTGTTGAGATAGCGGTAGGGTTGTGATTAGGGTAAGGGTTACTGTAGTGTTGAGATAGCGGTAGGATTGTGATGAGGGTAAGGGTTACTGTAAGGTAGAGATAGCGGTAGGATTGTAATGAGGGTTAGGGGTACTGTAGGGTAGAGATAGCGGTAGGATTGTGATGATGGGAAGGGTTACTGTAGTGTTGAGATGGCGGTAGGATTTTGATGAGAGTAAGGGTTACTGTAGGGTATGATAGCGGTAGGATTGTGATGAGGGGAAGGGTTACTGTAGTTTAGAGATAGCGGTAGGATTGTGATGAGAGTAAGGGTTACTGTAGTGTTGAGATGGCGGTAGGATTGTGATGAGAGTAAGGGTTACTGTAGGGTATGATAGCGGTAGGATTGTGATGAGGGTAAGGGTTACTGTAGTTTAGAGATAGCGGTAGGATTGTGATGAGAGTAAGGGTTACTGTAGTGTAAAGATAGCGGTAGGATTGTGATGAGGGTAAGAGTTACTGTAGGGTAGGATAGCGGTAGGATTGTGATGAGAGTAAGGGTTACTGTAGAGTTGAGATGGCGGTAGGATTGTGATGAGGGTAAGGCTTACTGTAGGGTAGGATAGCGGTAGGGTTGTGATGAGGGTAAGGGTAACTGTAGGGTAGAGATAGCGGTAGGATTTGATGAGGGTAAGGCTTACTGTAGGGTAGAGATAGCGGTAGGATTGTGATGAGGGTAAAGGTTATTGTAGGGTAGGATAGCGGTAGGAATGTGATGAGGGTTAGGGGTACTGTAGGGTAGAGATAGCGGTAGGATTGTGATGAGGGGAAGAGTTACTGTAGGGTAGAGATAGCGGGAGGATTGTGATGAGGGGAAGGGTTACTGTAGGGTAGAGATAGCGGTAGGATTGTAATGAGGGTAAGGGTTACTGTAGAGTAGAGATAGCGGTAGGATTGTGATGAGGGTAAGTGTTACTGTAGGGTAGAGATAGTGGTAGGATTGTGATGAGGGTAAGGGTTACTATAGGGTAGAGATAGCGGTAGGATTGTGATGAGAGTAAGGGTTACTGTAGTGTAAAGATAGCGGTAGGATTGTGATGAGGGTAAGAGTTACTGTAGGGTAGAGATAGCGGTAGGATTGTGATGAGGGTAAGGGTTACTGTAGGGTAGAGATAGCGGTAGGGTTGTGATGAGGGTTAGGGTTAGTGCAGTGTTGAGATAGCGGTAGGATTCTGATGAGGGTAAGGGTTACTGTAGGGTAGAGATAGCGGTAGGATTGTAATGAGGGTAAGGGTTACTGTAGAGTAGAGATAGCGGTAGGGTTGGGATGAGGGGAAGGGTTACTGTAGGGTAGAGATAGCGGTAGGATTGTGATGAGGGTAAGGGTTATTGTAGGGTAGGATAGCGGTATGATTTTGATGAGGGTAAGGGTTACTGTAGGGTAGAGATAGCGGTAGGATTGTGATGAGGGTAAGGATAACTGTAGGGTAGAGATGGCGGTAGGATTGTGATGAGGGTAAGGCTTACTGTAGTGTTGAAATAGCGGTAGGATTGTGATGAGGGTAAGGCTTACTGTAGTGTTGAGATAGTGGTAGGATTGTGAAAATGGTAAGGGTTACTGTAGAGGAGAGATAGCGGTAGAATTGTGATGAGGGTAAGGGTTACTGTAGAGTAGAGATAGCGGTAGGGTTGTGATGAGGGTAAGGCTTACTGTAGTGTTGAAATAGCGGTAGGATTGTGATGAGGGTAAGGGGTACTGTAGGGTAGAGATAGCGGTAGGATTGTGATGAGAGTAAGGGTTACTGTAGGGTAGAGATAGCGGTAGGATGGTGATGAGAGTAAGGGTTACTGTAGGGTAGGATAGCGGTAGGATTGTGATGAGAGTAAGGGTTACTGTAGTGTTGAGATAGCGGTAGGATTGTGATGAGGGTAAGGGTTACTGTAGTGTTGAGATAGTGGTAGGATTGTGATGAGGGTAAGGGTTACTGTATTGGTGAGATAGCGGTAGGATTGTGATGAGGGTAAGGGTTACTGTTGTGTTGAGATAGCGGTAGGATTGTGATGAGGGTAAGGGTTACTGTAGGGTAGAGAGAGCGGTAGGATTGTGATGAGGGTAAGGCTTACTGTAGGGTAGAGAGAGCGGTAGGATTGTAATGAGGGTAAGGGTTACTGTAGGGTAGAGAAAGCGGTAGGATTGTGATAAGGGTAAGGCTTACTGTAGGGTAGAGATAGCGGTAGGATTGTGATGAGGTTTGGGTTATTTCAGGGTTGAGATGGCGATCGTGATGTTATGAGGGTTTGGGCTATTTTAGGGTTGTAGTGTTGAGATAGCGGTAGGATTGTGATGAGGGTAAGGGTTACTGTAGGGTAGAGATAGTGGTAGGATTGTGATGAGGGTAGGGGTTACTGTAGGGTAGGATAGTGGTAGGATTGTGATAAGGGTAAGGGTTACTGTAGGGTAGAGATAGCGGTAGGATTGTGATGAGGTTTGGGTTATTTCAGGGTTGAGATGGCGATCGTGTTGTTATGAGGGTTTGGGCTATTTTAGGGTTGAGATGGCGATAGTGTTGTGATGAGGGTTTGGGTTATTTTAGGGTTGAGATGGCGACAGTGTTGTGATGAGGGTTTGGGCTATTTTAGGGTTGAGATAGCGATAGGGTTATGATGTTGGTTAGGGTAATCGTAGAGATAGAGTTGCAGTAGGGTTTGGATTGGGATGTTGGTTACACAGGGACATGAGAAGCTCGTACATATATCATTGGGAGTAGCATTTTGACCGAAAGTCGATGTAATCCACTAAAACGTGTACAATCACTCTGAACTCCTTAGTTTAGGTCCTACTATAGCTGTTACTAATTCCCAGGTCCCTGTGGTTGGTAAGTGATGGGTTGAAGTTTCGAATTGTTGTGATGAATGTGAGGGTTATATTGGGCTGGAGTCGAGAATACAACGAATGTGTTACGGGTGCATAAAATGGAAACACTGATAAGCATAACAACACTGCACATGTTTCACATGGGACTAATTATTTTAAGGTTGAGGAAATATCAACCATAAAATAACCACGCTCTTGCTTTTTTTTACAGTAAATTTCCAATTAATATATATTTTTTACTCGACCTAAATTTCCCCGCGGGGAAAGCACTGCTTATGTTGAATGTTATATACCCGTGGTTCCGGTTTTACTGGTATTTCACCTAATGCAATACATTTTCATGACACTGTCTAAAGAAATTATGTACATCTATTACGGCCTGTAGATTTAAACTCTAAAAGATCTATTTGATAGATCCGTTTTTGGTGTATCGAAATGCATATGAGGTTGTCACTTAGTAAGTGAGTGTTATTTAAACCCTAGGAGCGTGTTTTTTTTTTTACATACATTGCATAAACACATTTGGATCGAAACATACACACTGTCGCTTATTGGTTATACTCACAGGGACATGTCACATGCTATTCCTATACACTGTACATATTTAAGTGGGCATCAGAGTATAACAAAAATTCTTCTGCACATGCCCCTGTGGCTTTTCTGCTAAAATTGACATAAAAATAAACATTCGTAGATCTGTAGCCTCCCCTATCACCAGATGTGCACGTGTAATCTCAACATACCCGTCCCAGTGTCCACTAGTTTCGGAGACCCAGCTATTCCAACGAGTCAGTTTAATGGGTAACTCTTACCTAACGAGTAAATAATAGAGTTCAACAAATCAATTAAAAAAAAATGCAAGTTAAACGTCTTATTATCTTGTATTTACAGTTCAGGTTAATGTATTGTGTGTACATTGCCGTGTGTAATGTGCCTGATAATCGGAACTATTGTCTACATATGTGAACAGCACAATACAGTCTACACGGCCACTATTGACGTTACTACAATGCCTGTCTGATAGATTTGTTTTAAAGCCTCGCCGAGCAGGGAGGTCGTTATGATATCGCTCGCTAGCACACCTGTCCAATCTACCCTGTATGATACCACCTTGCGCCAGTGTTGCTCATAAATACCCCCCAGACATTCTTTCCCCACACACTAGTGAGAATGGTATATGTTGTGTAATTAAACATTACTTACGTGTCGGGCAAACTGCCTGGAGAAAGTTAAGATCTGCTATCGAGTGGGTAAGACAGTAACACCTGGGAAACAGCGATCTCTCAGGTTGCTATATGTAAACAAATAACGCAGGGGAGATCACTCCCGGGTAACTGGGTGAAAGTTGTGTAGGTAAGTATTTGTTAAGTGTACACTCAGTATGTTCGTTGACAACACTACCACATAACCACCTTCGTTTACTCCACTGTTCAAATTTCAATAAATTTTTGATTTTTATCAAATTGTTCAGTATACAATAAACAGCATATAGAAATATTTATTTAACGTCTTAAATAGACATATACAGATAATAATATTACCTGTTTATAGTAAATATTTTGACAAACAGTAGTGTACACGCGGATGACATAACTTAGGTCATATTTACACACCTGTACCATATTCACGATACAACAAATAAATATATTATAATATACATTGTCCATACCATAGGAGAGGGCTTGCATAGGCATAACGCCTGTTGTCACCAATTCCTTTTCAATTTGTATAAGATGCAATATTCAACAAAATGTTTGTGAAATAAAAATACAACAAATAAGATAAGAGCATACAGTATAATTAGACAGAAAATATTTCTCTACACAAACCTCATCTCATAAAATGCATTTCGGACCGTTATCATGAAATAAAGTTAAACAAATTTTGTTAAATAAAATACATAATGAAATAATATGAAATAAAATCAATTTTTGTATAAATAAATTAGTTAGAGATCTGTCATGTTGAGGATTCATTTCTTTAGCAATAGTGTGAGTTTCTTCAATTAAGAAATTGTCCGTCAGGAAATACAGCACTTTCTTGTACGAAATAACGCAGTGTGGTAAGACATCTTTCCATTTTGAGATAAGTCAGGTATATATCAGTCTGAATAATGAAAACGGCAGATCAATAGTCCTGCACTGTTTCCGCAGACTAACATACATAGTTCTGTATGTAGCTAACTATAATGGGTTATATTGTATTGTTTAAACTTTAGGAAAGAATAACAAAATTCAAATGTCGATATTGCACTTTGTGATGCGCATTAGCAAGACACTGCAGAATACATCATTGTCTAGGGGGGAAAAACAAATAAAAACTATCAAAACTTACTAGGATGAAATAAGGAGGATTTTCGTTATAGAAAATAATTCACATTCGTTTTTCGATAGCTTTTTTTTTATATACATGTACCAGAAACAGCTCAATGAGATTTATGGAACAAGGCATAAATTGTAAACTTCTGTGAAATATTCACGGAGTATACATAATTAACTCGAATAAGAAGTCAGATGGAAAAACTCAAACGACGACCAAACATGTAGCCGCAACCTGTACAACGCGTAGGAAACCTACGAAAAGACCAATACAGCGGCAGCTATAACTACAGACAATATACCAGTCCCCACACTGTGTGATGTGATTTTATCCATAACTCTTTGGGGAAACTCGGATAATAAACAACGTATTCTTATACTTTGAATACATATTTACTTAAAATACCGCGCACCTTGCGTAAACAAATCTCCTAAAGTTTGCTTTCGCTATTTTTAGATCTCGTCAGGTAAATAGTCTTCCTTATAGATTTAGAAACAGAGCTAATTCCCCTAGATATATTCCGACTTTGCGTATTGCAGAGTTATCTTCTGTTGAGAGCAGGTATTGATTGTTACGTCATTGGTTTGTGTGAGAAAATTACGTCGTTTTCTCAAAAATTGATGACGTTACTCTCACAAACAAATGACGTAACAATCAATACCTGCTCTCCAGAGAAGATAACTCTGCAATACGCAAAGACGGAATACCGTTATTTGGACATGCATTACGACTCCCTAATCTGTACTAGTATGTTATCATTTGTGAAAACTCCCATGAATATGTATTTGTATTTGAACACCTCCAAACCAGTCCTAAATATATACTAGTTTAGTACAACATCGACAAACCAGGAAATTAAGGATCCAGTTTATCTCCTCTGTCTTATCCGTAATAATTTACACTGTATGTACATATTAGATTATTAGATAAATTATAAACTCATCACATGAAGAAGTTCTGGGTCCGTATTCATGAAACCATGCTCATGCTCAAGCAGGGATTTTGTGCTCAAGCCCAATTTCTTGTTCCGGTTATAAATTAACAAAAAAATAATTTTGTCAATAATTTTGAAAAAAAAGTTGAAGAGACTTAAGCCAAATACTGTTTTCAATGATTACAATTGCTTTTTTGATCGTTTGACATGATTTAAGTGAGCTGCAAGAACCCTGCTTTGAGCACAGAATCTATGCTTGAGCATGAGAACGGCTTCATGCATACGAGCCTACTGGTGACAACGTTAACAGTAGATTCAACAGCTAAAGGGAGAGAACCTCATCTAAAAAAGTCTTCATTTACTTGACAAACCGCTAAATGGCCGTTTTATTAAAACTATCACTATCAGAGTACATAAGTATGGAAATCACACTCGGATCATCAAACTTTATATATGTACCACATTTTAGACAAAAACATCCTTAACTATGTCAATTATGTAAAATAAATTGTCGGTGAAACAGCACGTCCATTTTTCGGGCTTAATTACAGGCAATCTTAAAGACGATCGACTCTGGTCATAAAATATAATTATAATATGAGTATTTAATTGCAATTATAATGAAGCTTTGATATGCCAAAATATTTTTGTAATATAATGGCTATTATCTATGTCATTAAAAATACAGAAATATATCAAATATGCATTGATTTTGTTTGTTCTGTTTGTTTTTACGAGGCATAAGATTCCCGCAATATCAAAATTAATATGAAGACTGACTGTTGGTCGGTACAGATAACAACAATGAAGTGTTTATTATTTCTAAAACCATGTTCACAATCGAGTGTCTAATCATTAGATTTAAACTATTGATATTGTTGGTTTAACAAATAAAAAAATGCGAGGGGATTCCCTTTCCCATCTTTTAGGATAGGGTTGCTTACACTCCGGGACCATTTAGATGAATTCCTACAATGTGGAAAATATTTGACGTATCCTTATTGATTCTTAGGTATTGTCGTTTCTCGTGTGTAAGTGGTTTGTTGAAAGATGTCGAGTCATTTATGAAGTGATTCATCAATGCTCGTTCCACACTTTCCTTTATCCTTTCATTACGACTGTAGGAAACTTATGTATCATGCTTAAAGTAATGCTTTTGAATATTAATGGTTGTTTTGCCGTCTTTTTTTTTTTTATAAAACTTTTTATGATTGTTTTGGTATTGTATATATTGTGTTCTATTAATACACTCCGACTTCTTGGCAATAGTATGGCTATTTGCTATTAAGGAGATATTGAATTCCAATCAAGAATAATCAGGAATTCCGCCATTATCATTAAAGGGAATCTTATTTGTTCTCTCGTATTTGTTGTGTTTCATTGACTACAATTAAGTTGCAATATTCACGTTTCCTACTGTCTACTCTTATTACTGGTATGATGTTATCCTCGTGTGCTGTCTATAATGTTATATTTTTTATAAATTTTATTTGGGAAAACATCATCATAACGTTTGGTGAATCATGAAAAGTCAACAGCTATATCATTGCCTACAGGGTCACAGCGTGGTTATGGAATACAACAGATACGCTTCCAGAACAACCCTTCAACGTTATGTCGTCATAATGAGTCGATTTATCATTTATGTCGATTTTAATAAAAGTTTATTGTCCAATCTGTCTATTAAGATTCATTAAATTCATTCTAGCCATACTTTTGCAATAAACGGACTGCAAAATTGTTTGAGTGACAGCAATAGGCCGCATTTATAGTTGAAATCAATGGAGCCATACATGTAGTCTGTTACTGCTGTACAAACAATTAACTTATATTTAGTCCTGCCACCTCAGTGCCGACTCTTTAGTTGTTAGAGTGTTGTAACAGAGTGAAAGCACACATAGTGTTTATCAATAAGATAGAAATATTGTGAATCACTTATATATGTAACAATCATTGAAGTTTAGGATCAGGTAGTTTATCTCCCCTGCCATATCCTAAATAATGTATGTACATGAGATATATGCATACAGACAGTGTGTATTAATTATTAGGATAAGATAGAAGAGATAAATTACTGGATCCTAAACCTCTTGTTTGTCAATACAACCCTTATACTATTTACATTCTGTGTTGCATTTGTCTATATGTATGTCGTTAATAAACCAAATTGCAGTATATGAGACTGTATACTACAATTTACAGTGATACAAGGTAAACAAACATGGCCGCCAGTCACATCCGATATCAATAGTGTATCTTCGTGATGTCATCCATTACTCAAAATCACGAAACCGAGCCCCTGTGAACGTCGTCTGCTAGCGATGCTAATCTGACCGATTAGACATGGAATCTGTTTCAAACGAAATGTCCTTGGAATCGTTATTCACCTACTGAAAGGTCCACTTTAATTAAAAATTTCCGAGTATATATGCTTCTGAAAGTAACGTAATATTCCAGTCGATTGAAACATAAGCATTTCCGTCACTAATATGATAAGCGGGAAATTCAAACGTATTTTTGCTTCAGTTACTATACAAAACAAACTATATAAAAAATACTGCATCTGGTAACAGTCCAATGATGAAATCATTACACTCGTCAAATATAAAGTTCTGATGTCAATGCAAACATGACGTTGCATAATTTTCTGGAGAAGATTATTGGCAAGATGCAGCAGCTGAAGGTAGGGAGCGACATCTAACAAAATATTTGTTTAGTTGATCGTGTTACAATATCATTCAGAATCATATTAGGGTTAACAGAGCAAACACGCATCGTATTTATCCGGCGAGATAACTTGATTTATAATTTCTTATTATATCGATGGTAGAGTAATACCGTATTATTTTTCCTCTAACTTGGCGTTAAGTATGAATTCTTTTCAATGAATTCAATTGCTAAATTATAATTACTTCAATCAGCATAAAAGTCTTGGCTTTGTAGCTTCAAAACAATAGTTACGAAGAAGGATAACATTCGTTTTCTATTGATGGTTCTAATCCAACTATCAAACAACTTCAGATTTTCTTTTTATAATTGGAAAACGAAAAGTTTTCTTAGCTTACAATGACAATGGAATACCATACCGTGACAATGGATTACCATACCGTGACATTGGATTACCATACTGTGACAATGGAATACCATACCGTGACAAGGGATTACCATACCGTGACAATGGAGTACCATACCGTGACAATGGAATACCATACCGTGACAATGGATTACCATACCGTTACAATGGAGTACCATACCGTGACAATGGAGTACCATACCGTGACAATGGATTACCATACCCTGACAATGGATTACCATACCGTGACAATGGAGTACCATACCGTGACAATGGAATACCATACCGTGACAATGGATTACCATACCGTGACAATGGAGTACCATACCGTGACAATGGAGTACCATACCGTGACAATGGAATACCATACCGGAACAATGGATTATTTTGGTGCTGATCGAAATAACAAAATGGCTTCAAGGCAGCCATCTTTGATTTTGAAAAATCACGTAAAAGAACATGAAACAATCTTTGTCAATTTTCAAAGGTTTCCATTGTTCAATAGTTGCACATGTTTAATTTTGTGACTGATCGAGAAAAAGAAAATGACAACCAAAAGTGGCCATCTTGGATTTTGATAGTTGAAATTTGGTATCACTCTTTCTGGAGAAGTACCAAACCAATCTATCATGAATAAAAAAATCTCTATGGTCCATTGGTACACATGTTTTGTTTTTAGACAGATCGAAAAAACAAGATGGGCGCCAGTTAGCAATCTTGGAATTTGAAATAGTTTTTTTCTCAATCAATAAACAATGGCCGCACTTCGAAAGAAAACTCGCAAATGCAGCTGTATGAAACTTTGACCAAAATTAAGCACATTTGCTGTTTGTAGGACAGATAAGGGAAAAGAAGAGAAATAAATAGAATAAATGAAGATCTTACGATTGTGGGCTTCAATTTTATTTGGGATTTGTTGTTTCGCGTGTATCACAAATTTATGCATAAATAATTGAACAAACTATATTAGATTTTGTCATTATCAATAGATATATACGACCGATTTTAACCGTCTGAAGTCTGCGGTTTAGTAGCTAGTTATTGGCGAGAGTGAACCACTGAAGGTGTCTTGCACACAGTTCGCGTATATGGAATGTAGCAAGTATTTATTGTGTCCCCAACCTCCAGATACAATATATGTTTACTAACTTTATGAAATGTGCATGATACTTTCTCAAATGCTATCAGGTTAAATTAATCATTTGTTATACTATGGCATGCCATCAATTGTATTAACTAGTTAAGAAAACATTTAGAGTTTTAGACGAGTGTACATGTATATTTCAAGCACTTTCGTCACATCTTATTTATGAAGTGTAAAATTGACAAAAGAAACAACTGTTCTCAAATCTTCTTTATGCAAAGCCTTTGATGACACCAGGGTAAACCGAAAGGCTGATGAGTCAGAGAGAAGATGGACATAACTTCCGGTCGTCCTCTGTGTAAGAGGTCCCGCATGACTGGGGTTAAGTAAACAAACTGTACGGTCGGAGATACTGCACCTTTTACCTACACAGGTATATATAGTCGAGTACGTACCTGGTGCTAAGTCCAATGTGACTCTATAGTCTATCCCCCGGGGGAAATATGCTCGCTCCTGATTCGTCAGGTGGCGCACTGAGTAAGGCTTTGACGCTAGGGGGCAGTCATCAGTCAAAAAACAAAGAATACGTCATTGATCTTCCTCAATCGCCATCGATCCTGTCACACTTCACTGATTTTACGTGAAACGTCTGAATCGGACACCTCCGCTGCTTACCTGCACAGGTAGTGCTACGTACCTTCCCTAATTAGAACTGGCCTAGCGGTATGTGAATACGGAAAGTATTTCGGGATTATTATTATTGTGAACAAGGAATTGCATACCATATCATTCATCAAACCAATTCCTATTATCTCCATTTTTCTAAAGAAGGTAAGATATTTATTTGATTGACCGTTTGCATGCCTGTGATCTTCTAGATTATCTTAGGTAGGTGGACCTTTAAAAGTATTACACTAGAGGCTAAACGAATTTCTCTTCAGTTGCTCCATCAAGAAACTGTTCTATATGGCTATTTGCTGCCTTTATTATTATGTATTACATTTTTATAATAGTATTTACCCTTCATTGGAAATGATAAAGGTTTGTCTATGTTATAAGAACACTTACTTTATATTTGAATTGATGTTTAACTGTTATTTATACGGTAATTATATTGATACACCTGATTGCTACAAACATTCCAGACCGTATACAGTCATGACTGATAGAGCATAACACGTACAAATCGGTTTGAAATAGTTCTGATTAATGTAGCAGCGAATTAAACGAAAGTCCATAGCATCTTTACATGTAGATATAACGCATTATTTTGTATATAATTTATATATTGTTTGAAGTGTATGTGTGTGAACTGTATTCCATCTTTTATTGTCATATGGGAAGTGTACATCCATTTAAATGTCCATTATATATAATGCAATGTCGTAGGTCAGATTCTCATGACCACAATGTCTCTTTCTAACGTTAAAAGATGTGCACATTATCTGTTAATAGTGAGCAATTCTTGTTCACACTTCCGTTTTTCCTTTAATCCTCCCGTAAATCACATTCTTTTATTTTACCTAAGTTCATATATAGATGGCCGAACTACCAAGTGTTAGGCGATTAATGATGTTAATTTCAGTTGTAACATTTCTCGCACCACAAATCACTTCCGCTTTGTTTGACGTCCAGGGGCGATGCCCAGGTGACCATAACCCCGACGGGCGTGATAACTTACAAATGTTTTTTTTATAGAAATGTTCAATATGTGAGTTGACATGCTTTTAGGCACTCATGAGATAAACGGTCGTCGAAATAAAACACATTTTGTTTTGTTTTTGGCACTTAGACTCGCAACAGAGAACGGATCCAACTCGAGCAAATAACGTTTGACAGGAGTTTTGAACTATCATAAAACGAAGTGTCCTAATAAAATAAAATGTCTGCCGAATGTTTTCAAAATGTCGTCATCGTAATGATTGATAGTCGGCCTGGTTGACAGTGACTGTATATACTCCACGAGATGGTCGATCAGTTCATGCTTCAAACGTAATTCACTGATAAAAATCAGTTGGTGTTTATTTATTTTTATTTGAAATATAAATCGTGTACCTGTGTTTAATGGTCAAAATATATTTCGTATTGTCTTACATATCGAACTATTGTCGAAAATTTCTTCTACAACGCTCCTTTGTCTGAAGAGAAGAACAAATACCTACATAACTATATATGAAGTCGTTTATGTACTACAAAGTACTAATGATGAGACTGTCACATAATACTATTTTACCGAACGGCAGTACGTCATGTTTCTGTCAGCCGTCAGGGATGGCCGTCTGATCAGGCGAGACTGTTATAGTCATTTAATGGTACTAAACCGGTCGGGGATTAACAGGTAACAAGTCAGATAATGCATTTATCGTGTACCTGACAAGTGTGTACCATAAAGTACTGTAGTCTACCCAGCCCTGGACAGTAAATCATGGATGGCGTACAGTCGGTGTGCTGTGTGATCCCCAGATCAATTACAAGAAACAACAAGATACAACAAGATACAAGAATATTTATTTTCCGTCGATTTTGCAAAACATACAACATAAGCTACAAAGAGCTTGTTTTTCGTCAAAACATGAGTATAATAACAGAGAAAAAATTAGCACACATTAGCGTTCAAGTTGATTAGCATCCAGTAAATAACAATAATGTGTTTGTATTTATCTTCATTCAAATCGACACATTAACAGTATTTTACGCACATACAATGTCTCTATAATTTGGTCTTATATATTTAGAAAAGACCCAGTTCTAAATGTCTAATCATTCATGTTACATTTTCCATTGTATTGTTTATGTCTATCTTGTATCTTGGTTCAAAATTGGTTCAAAATTATCTAGCTAGCATATCTAACTTAAACAGTAATGAACTTTCTGGCGATTTCTTCTCAGCCGTTTTACGACATTTTGCCTATTTCCCGCAAAAGTCGAGCATCTCTTTAAAAAGTGTATTTGCTATTCAATAACATTTATGAACAAAAGCACGCTATTATGTGCTCATATCGGGCCACTTTTTACAGCCGATTTATAATAGAACAGTAATTTGTGACGCCTATGAACTACAGCATGGTTGGGTGATTTTTGTACGAAATATGAGTGTCAACGTAATCTAGACAGATAGATGTCCGCCACATTATTGTTCACGAACCAAATGTGCTACGATGTCTCTTTTCTAGTGATGCAGTAAATTGGTTTCACCTGCTTTGTCCCCCCATCACTCACTCTATCTTTCTATATGTGCAATACTCGTTGTCAACATTCAATCTTAGCATGGATTTTTACCCTGGCTTCTTGTCGAGTAACACTAGCAAGGTTATCTTCTGTGACTATACCCCCATACCTTTAAGATATTCTTGTTGTCTTTTTCTACTAAAATGTCTTTAATTCCCATCTGTCTCCATGACCACATGTGACGAACGTGTGGTCAGAATAAAGGCAAAATGGGTCAGGGTTGATATTTTGTTTCCATCATACCCCCTACGTTTGCTGAGGAATAAATTGACAAAAATGGGTTTCCAGTTATGTAAAATGTATATTGACGTAGACTGTAGGCGAATATTGTCTTCATAATGATATATATGGAAAATATTCTATTTCCTCATACTATTGGCATATTTCTGTTTCTGATTACGCTTACTTGTGTTCTTTGTGAATTCGCCATTTCTTTGGTTGTCCCTTTCAGAACATGGTATTGCACATATTAGCAGAAGTCACTGATCATTCCGGAACATCTGGGTTTTGTTTTCCTGGTAATTTTTCGATGGTCTCCGAGGATAGCAATATTTTGTTCATATTTTGGCAAATTTCATTGATTTTGAGGTTAAAATAGTTTTTTTAACAATTGGATATTCCTTTCAGTTTCTTTACTTCTTCAAAAATGGGTATGGTAGTTTCAACTCCTGCTTAACGCTCAGCAATTTAAGAATGGGACGACTGGTTCGCCCGTTGTCAGTAAAATGTGACTTCGGCAGTATGTTTCAGTGAGGTAGCACTATAAAGTCGGCATCAGTTCCGCGCTATCAGAAGGAGACAAACACGAACATATCGCAGTCTCCAAAAAACACACACGCATGCATCTTGCACACAGGGGAGGCCGTCCTTAAATGATCATAGCTGTTGATAGGACGTTAAACAATACTAAAACAAACAAACCAAACATCTTCAAAAGGTGATTGTTTCTTAGCTTTACCTTTAAAGTGTTGGAAAATCGTAAATGCCCAGTTTAACAAATCAGACTTGTGATAGCAGACTCTAACATGTGCTTATTTAATTATCTATTTATTTGTGCAAACTCAATCAAGCCAGTATTATCATGACAGTGTTAAGATGGACCTTAATTGCAATTTCAACAATTGAATAAAAGGTTTTAGGTTGGAATATTTCTTTTAGTCTGAAGAATAAGTCCCAGAACAAGGAACAACACAATCCACGTTATTTGGTTGTGATGTCACTATCAGCGACGTGGTGCATGGACGACGTTTTTTCCCTTTTAGAAATATGTTTAACTTTTGCAATGTGATATATAAAGTCCCCGTTTTCTATGAATGCCAGCTAGGTCTGTAACTCAACTTAGACGATAAGTGTTTTTCAACTACATCTCACTCGATAAAATATAAAATAGCAGGATAATAAACGTTCAAAAACAAATTAAATACATAAGGATATGTGACTCTCTATAAATCTCTCAACAAAATAAATGGATATGCTTTTAAAATCTGTATTTATCCATCAGAACCTTTTAATTGATGAGCTTCATTGAATCTATATAATCTATTCAGATATACAACCAAAGTTGATTCTATGATGTTATTATGTATACAGTTATATAAATCAATTTAAAAAAATCAACACTAATCAATATATATGTGAAATAGTGTAAACAAATCTACATAATCGCAAGAAGTGTAGGATTCTATAAATCTTATTTTAATTAAAATGAATTTACAAAACAGAGTCACCGTATAAACAATATGTAATACCAGTATATGATTATAAATACAATTTTATATAACAGATTTAATGTGTTAGATGACAAAAATATTTCAAACGACATATTAATGGAGAGTTAAAAATGTTGTAAACGGTGTACTATGCTGGCATATTTAAATAGGAAATTAAACTATTATATTTGACTGTACAACACACAATATTAAACATGTATGGAATTCGTAATAGTTTATAAATTATGGTGATTATGGTATAAGGATTGTTAAAAAATTAGAATCGCCCATTGCATATGTATAACATACAATCGTAGGTACAGTGCAAAACATGGGAGTATACCATATGCATTTATATATATAATCTATGAAAACTGAAACTAAGGCCACAATGATATATTCTATACAACAGATGATGGGACTATTATCGCATACAAGCTCCATGCTGTATAAACTACACTAGAGACTATGTCAAATTAAGTTTATGGTAACACATTTATAGATATAATAATGTTCACTACGACCCTTTATATATTGCTATTGTGACTTTGTAAATAGCAGATACAGTTTAGGTTTTATTCTGTTTTATACGTAATGGAAGATGGGGAGTTAGTAGGATAAGCAAGTTTTGGTATTAGGTTGTCACAGGACTGTAGTTCAACATCTTATAAGTAACCCCTCTCTTATGAATGTTGATATAAACATCAGTACAAATCAAATAACTATTAAACACAATTTTATTCATAACATAAACAATATACTACTTTTTTACATTGTTATTGTACTAACCGTACATAAAAACTAGTTACGCCCCATTACATTTATAGCACTATAACTGCAATATGCTTTGTCTTCTGGTGATTATCACGTTAGCGTAATAGTGATGTTGTAAGTTTAAAGTTGGCGATCACAAGCCGGTATCCTGCAGGAACTGTTCTTTTTATTGAATCAACATGAATGACATGATCAATATGTGCCAATGTGGACGCGGTTTCGTATGAGGTCGTGTTTTTGTTTCCATAAGTGTGCAATTCTAAAATTATCAGTATAAGATACATGTATGAAGGGTACAATTTGAATGATCACGCTAGTACGAAAGGCATTTGCTTACAAGTGTTCTTCGTACGCCTTTAGTTAAAACAGGGTACACGTTTCGAAGCTTTTCTTTTAACGTTTTTAATAAGATCAATATTGCTTGCTTCATTGGGGATCCACACATTGGCAGCAGATTTCAAATTTGACAAAACTAATGCTTTAAGTAAGAGCTTGAATATTAATTCGTCTAAGTAAACAAATGATCTTCTATAAGTCTAGTTATACAATAGGGTGTGCTTATACTTTGTGGTATATGAGTATGCTAATTCAGATCCTCATCGACGGTTTCCTTGAGGAATCATTTTCTATCGTTATGTTCTTCCAGTGTAGTTTCTTCTGCCCCTGCTTATTGCATGAAATATATTCTTTTTTCACTCTGTTTAATTGAAAGGAATTAGCATTTGTTTGGAATGAACATTAAAATCCATTGCTACAGTGTATAATTAATTTGAGGCTCGTTCGGAACGTTTTTAAGAGCTCGAGCGAAGGTATCATTTTTGTTAGTTTTCTATCTGTATAGTTTTATATGAAAATGTTGTGATGTGGTGAAATCTGGTAAATCTTCTATATAAATCACGAACAGGATCGGTCCAAGGACATTGTTCTGTGGGATGCCGCTTAATGTTGAATATTTGGATGTTTCCCAATCGTTGACATTTATCTGCCATCGTTCACTGTTGGGTTCCGTATTCTAAAATCCGACATGAAAGCATTTACATCATATCTTAATGTATTATAAAATCAACGTTAATAACATAAAAACTAAACTAATTTGAGATCAGGGAATTCGAAACATTTTGTTTAAAAATGAAGGCATTGTATATTTCATTGATGAGATTAGCAAAGTCTTTATTACAAATAATGATTTTTGTTTTATTTTTCTCCTCAGAAACGTGGTATGGGGGCGTTGCCAGTACTCTTCCTGGTTGTAATCTATGGACTGGCGTTGTTACCAGGGTTACCAAGTGTAACAGGGTACAGTTCTGGGGCTGCAGATCAAGCCTGCCCTAACTTACAGCCATGGCACGGAGGAACACGTCCAAGTACCTTACCAGCACCTTACGTCATCAACCTCTCCAAAACTACTTACGCTCCCAGGGACCAAATCACAGGTGAGACATTAGCACGGCAACAAGACACGCCATAGATATGTTACTGCTGCTGAATATACATTAGATGATAATAGTTATAAGATATCGTAAGCTAAACAAGGCTACTTAAAAATAACGGAATAGGTTTAAAGCAAATTAGGAATTATATCGGATTGTCAGAGGCAAAACCATTCACTGATATTATATTATTACTACATTTTACAACAGCAAACTGTTATTGCATCAATAATGCATTATTATCAGGCAATTATTAGCTTTATTTTTAGCGTCATATTCTTACGACGAGTTTGACAACAAGCTTAAGGCTACGCGCAATCTTAAATGGATTACTCTAACGTTTTCTGCTAATATTTGGTAAGATTTTACCAATGGTGTTCTTAAAGTTAATACCATCATTCATGTAGTAAAAAAATCATTCTATAATCGCTTCATCTGCATTTGAACTGAAAATATTTTGCTTCGAATGCTGTCACAGTACAACATATATCAGTTATGATATCAGAATGGTATCTAATGTTACTTAAGATGAAATTAAGTAACTTTGTATAAAATCTGTATTTCCTAGCTCATTAACAAGGTGACAACTGTATACAATATTGGGACATCTCAACAGCGGATAGCTCCATTATCTGCATTATCTAACCTTCAAATCGACAGATAGCTGTGTGTTACGAAAGCGTCTGTGCAGGTGTCGACAATATATTTCTGATATTTAAGCCTCGTGTGTAGTCGTCATATTGCCCAGACGGTGGTATGTCCGATGCCAAGGGCTATAACTAACAGATCATCGAACCTCGTAACCGTAATACACCAATAAAAACGCCGCCATTTTGTAATAATGACGTATTTAATGTGTCACCTATATGATGTTTATACCATGTTGTGTAATACGTTGACTGTTTTACGTGAGTGTCAGTAAGTCGTTAATCGCTCAGATTATGTTGATTCTGTCTTAGTGCCACAAGTCCGTCGATATCTGTTCAGTTTATAAGTGTATCGTAGTCACACTAACCTAGACTACGTTTATATTAGCCATATATGTACCAACAATAAAATTGTCTATCATTTTCATTATTGAAGCTAAATAGGTCTAGATGGGCAAATAAACACCCGATAGACAAACTAGTAAACGTTAGTAGTTTAGAGAGACACAGAAAATGCAATTACCCTAACTGGTACAGCAGATATTGTAAAGTTTCTTTTTCATTTTCCCCTGCAGGGAGGACATATATATATAATAACTATTGATTCTGTTAATGGAGGAGGTCCATTACCTCCCTCATAGTATTATCCTTCTCGACGAAAAGAATGATATAAAAATATGTATAGCCAACATTTATCATTAAAACTTGAACCAATAAGTGAGAAATACATATTTCTTCATTTCATGCTCTAAAACGATACGGCATATTATCACGAAAGCGTGTAAGCGTGCTATGTGTTTGTTTGTGTTACTGAACCCCTATAGGGACCGCAGAACCAAATGATTTTCCATAGACGATAGTGTTAACGTTTACCACTGTCCTGGTTAAATGGGGTTATCCACACTGGTTTACCTGCCCTCATTTTGAAGAATATCATCTCACACAACTGTAAATAAAATATTTAAAAATTCTGCCTATTTCGCCTTTTTTTTATATGGGGGCCGCCATCTTGTATTGAATTCGGCACCAAAAATCGACCAAAATTTACAACAAATTACACACTTGATAAACTCAACCAGACAAAAGCAGACTTGATTTTTTTTAATTTTTTTTATGCATATTACATCTATATATATTGCTCAACCCACACATAACACTTTTGAAACTTCTGCCACCTAAATATCCAAACAGCAGGCCCCGAGGCATTCACCTTCCTATTAAATCTTCTGCCCAAAAGGGAAAACCCCACAATCTATTTTTGATTTGGTTCCGTGGTCCCTATAAAGAGAAGCCACATACTTGAGTACTTTACTAGTATCACCAACGTTTTCCAAAGGAAAACAGAAACAACTGTTCTCTGTCCAACGGTGGTATTATAACAGTTGCTGAAGTCGACAGCAGCATGTATAGGATGAAAGTAAATACTAATATAACAAATTGGTTACTTACAAAAGAGTATTTGTTGTTTTATAGTGACTATCCAAGCGTGTACCGGATACAGTTTTAAGGGCTTCCTCATACAGCCCCGACTCGTCCAGTTTTACGAGCAGGATGTCAAAGTGGGCGTCTTCGGAAACTACCTCAACTCTCAATTTAAATATGCATGTCCCGACACCAGACTGGTAGGTATAATATTGTAACGTGAGCTAATATTGTATTGTTATAAATATGTCATAGAAAAAGGTCTGTAGTATAATGTTAATCAGTAATTCGTATGCATATTATTATATATATTTATTGATACGTAAAACGTTATGAAATAACTGATGATATGATAGACAACCATTGGTATGTATAATGTTATACTGTTATTGGTAAGTATAATGTAATACAGTTAAAATTGTTCCGCATTATATATTGAAACTGTACTTCGTATGTTTGATACTTTCAGTTAATGGTACGTGTTATTTTATGCTTAATTTGGTACGTACAATGCAATTCAATTATTGGTATGTTCAATGTAAAGGTTTAATTGATAAGTGTACCGTGGTTGGTATGTACAGAAATGTACATGTATATATAGTGACTGTACGTATACTTTTACAGGGAACCCGCGGTCAGGCACTGACCCACGTCGAGGCTTCAGACAAGACGGTTATGAGATTTGTTTGGCAAGCTCCACAGGTACCACAGGGTCACGTGGTGTTCCGGTGAGTACCATGGTCCCTTTATCTATAAGTTTACACCGTCTTATCAAGTAAAACGTTTTGTAATAATACACTAGCGTACAGTACAGATACGGTAACGTATTTACCCAACAAAGCAGAAATAAATAGGACAATGAAATGTTATAAATTGATTTTGTTTTCTAAGGGCGACAATCCTGCAGCAGTTCAATACGTATTGGATGGCAGTTAGCTCGCCAGTGGTATATGACCAGTTCAGTAACGTCCGCTTGACTCAACAACAGATACTGACCATGACGACTCCAATGTCAACCGCGTGTACCCAGACTGTCAACTCCACCACATCCCCTCCGACCCCTACAACAACCACCACTACCACTCCAAAACCCACGACAACAACGCCGACAACCACTACCACTACAACGCCGACAACCACCACCACTACAACGCCGACAACCACCACCGCAACGACGACCACTACACCTAAGCCTACCACCACCACTACCACCACTACCACAACACCGACCACCACTACCACAACACCTACAACCACTACCACCCCGACCACAACAACTCCTACTACCACTACCACCCCGACCACAACAACTCCTACTACCACTACCACCACCACCACCGAGCCGACCACCACTACCAAACCAACAACTCAAAGGCCCGCTACAACTCCGAAAGTTCCAGATCCAGGGGTGAGTAATGTTAAATGTATGATAAATATTAAATATGTCATCAATGATATTGAATCGACTTATACTGTAAGGTACCTTATTTGACGGCTATGCCATTTTAGCCCCTCTCGTGCTGAAGCTGAAGTGATACTTTAAGTAAAGCATATTTATTCACATTTACGTTATATACGTCTGTAAACCTAGATTGCATGACCTCTTGAGACGATTACGGCAAACTTTGAAATCAATTTAAGTAATGATAGAACGCAATATGCTTAAATTTTGCCAGCGGCTAAAGATAAACAAACTGTATGCAGCCATTAGATTGCTTTGTCGCTCTGTGACAACACGCATACATCTACGTGACTGTCAAGGAAACAGCTTCGGGTCAATCCCGACATGCTAGATTAGCGTTTTATTTTTCTGTATGTAATTGATATGACTATCTTTACAGACAAAGGGATGTTACAGATCATCAGCTCACGTCCGCAATTTAGGCCTTAGTTACTGACATTTAATGTTGGGTTTATAGCAATTGTACAAGGAAGATAAAAAGACCCAACCATATTTCATAATCTGCCTTATAAATCCTATGTCTCCCTCAATGCGAAACCTACAGAATAGATTTGTATTTCTTAAATCTATATTTTTTGCCCGTATAACTCTAATGTGCTATATAAAATTTTAAAGTATTTGAATGTTACTTGACAAACTCTCAGCATATAGAAAGCTCCCCGAAATAATTTTCAGGTAACCATTGTATAAATGAATAACAGTATTGTCGATGAAAGTAGTGTAGAATGTGATCAAAGGAAACGTTTATTTATATACTCGTGAAAACGTAGAATACAGAAGAATAAACAAGGGTGATCCGGAAGGATAAGCGTTTTTTTCTTTCGTCGACAACATCGTCATGTCAATCTAGGTCAAATACAAGAAATGATAGGTCCACAAATGCCACGAAACACCGACACCTCGAAACACACTTATGAGCATAAAAGCATGCATCTCTCGAAACTTGTGTTGAAAATAATTTTGTCCGTGTATCGTCGATATCCGTCACAGAAATTTGGAAATTGAGAGCATGCCCTTGAATATCGAATCAACCGCGAAATGTATACATTGTAGGCCGGAAAAACAAGGATGTTCCTATCAAGATAGGGAAAGTTCACGATCAGCAAATCCAAATCATTATACGTATCGTATTGCTTAGAATTAAGATGTCGATGAAGGGGTTATAAGTTATTGATTAGCTCGGAAATTATCCGACGTCGTTACATTTGTAGATAGAAAGTAAGATATTGTATTTTATATTCATTGGCTGATTATAGCCATCCAAGCATGACTATATACGTTGTGCGTGAATAAGGATATCAATGTTAACTGTTATTGTATTACAGACTTTGACGATACCCCCGGACATGCGCTGTAATGTGACCAGGGGCTGCCATCATGACTGTAGGGGGCCCTACTGTTCCTTCATCATTGGCTGGGTGGACAAAGGCGATTCCATCGATTTTGAAATACAAACTGTTGTCAAGGAAAGAGGTGATAAATGGATAGCCATTGGGTTCTCCTACGATCGAAATATGGTAAGTATCATGAAAGTCAATTTTATTATTGTGACCATGTTGAAAATATTAAATATGCATTCACTTGATGGCAGTATACGATATCTAAAGTCGAGTATTATTAAAACAGTGACCTCTTATTTAGCTGTCTCACTTTCCAACCATTGTTTCTAAAAAATATTCTGCCGTTTCTCAGGACAAAAACTGTCCCAGTAATACAATCGTCTCACCGCCCACATACCACTGTAATGGCATGGAACAAAATGGTTTGTGTGATGTTATGCATGATGACAGACGAGTTCACTGTAATGTCTAACCATTATTTTAGTTGAATACACCATGATCTGTCGTCACCATTCAGGATGTTAATTCCAAATTTTGTTTCCGGTTGTGACGAAAAAGTTCAAATATATATATATGTGTTATTGTCTTTTGCAGTTTATCATAAATAAGCTAAATAAGAGTCCGTAAACAAAAATGCGGTTGTATGAATTAATAATGTTTGTGTTACTAGGGATCCGACAGCGTGACGGAGTGTGTGACGACATCCGGTTACGTCAGCGTGTTCCAGTCTTACAATAAGGACACGCGCATTAATTCAAGACTAAGGAACGTGAGTATATAATCACTTTCAACTAATTCTATACCTTATACTATCGTACACTGTCACCCACACTGCTATAGTACAGCGTCGTACACATGTCATATATCGACACCATCACAGCTAGCATAACGTCATGAGACAGTTCTGAAGATAAACTAATCAGTACTGTTTAACTGTATGCAGAGCCACGTACAGTCACCATCAGCATACCACAATAACCACGTCATGTTTCAGTCACAAACAGTCACCCTCAGTACAATGAACACAACGTCATGCAAGAACCATATATACAGATACTCTCATCGATAAAGGGAAAAAAATGTTATGAAATAGCCATACACATTCACCTTTAACAGTACATCACCGCAAAGGTCATGTAACATCAATACACATACACCTTTACTGATACAACACCGACAATGTCGTGTAACATCAATAGACATACACCTTTACCAGAACAACACCGAAAATGTCATGTAACATCAATAGACATACACCTTTTCCAGAACAACACCGACAATGTCATGTAACATCAATAGACATACACCTTTTCCAGAACAACACCGACAATGTCATGTAACATCAATAGACATACACATTTACAAGAACAACACCGACAATGTCGTGTAACATCAATAGACATACACATTTACCGGAACAACACCGACAATGTCATGTAACATCAATAGACATACACATTTACCAGAACAACACCGACAATGTCATGTAACATCAATAAACACACACCTTTACCAGAACAACACCGACCATGTCATGTAATATCAATAGACATACACATTTACCTGAACAACACCGACAATGTCATGTAACATCAATAGACATACACCTTTACAAGAACAACACCGACAATGTCATGTAACATCAATAGACACACACCTTTACCAGAACAACACCGTTAATGTCATGTAACATCAATAGACATACACATGTACCAGAACAACACCGACAATGTCATGTAACATCAATAGACATACACCTTTACCAGAACAACACCGACAATGTCGTGTAACATCAATAAACACACACCTTTACCAGAACAACACCCACAATGTCATATAACATCAATAAACACACACCATTACCAGAACAACACCGACAATGTCATGTAACATCAATAGACATACACATTTACCAGAACAACACCGACAATGTCATGTAACATCAATAGACATACACATTTACCAGAACAACACCGACAATGTCATGTAACATCAATAGACATACACATTTACCAGAACAACACCGACAATGTCATGTAACATCAATAGACATACACATTTACCAGAACAACACCGACAATGTCATGTAACATCAATAGACATACACATTTACCAGAACAACACCGACAATGTCATGTAACATCAATAGACATACACATTTACCAGAACAACACCGACAATGTCATGTAACATCAATAGACATACACATTTACCAGAACAACACCGACAATGTCATGTAACATCAATAGACATACACATTTACCAGAACAACACCGACAATGTCATGTAACATCAATAGACATACACATTTACCAGAACAACACCGACAATGTCATGTAACATCAATAGACATACACATTTACCAGAACAACACCGACAATGTCATGTAACATCAATAGACATACACATTTACCAGAACAACACCGACAATGTCATGTAACATCAATAGACATACACATTTACCAGAACAACACCGACAATGTCATGTAACATCAATAGACATACACATTTACCAGAACAACACCGACAATGTCATGTAACATCAATAGACATACACATTTACCAGAACAACACCGACAATGTCATGTAACATCAATAGACATACACATTTACCAGAACAACACCGACAATGTCATGTAACATCAATAGACATACACATTTACCAGAACAACACCGACAATGTCATGTAACATCAATAGACATACACATTTACCAGAACAACACCGACAATGTCATGTAACATCAATAGACATACACATTTACCAGAACAACACCGACAATGTCATGTAACATCAATAGACATACACATTTACCAGAACAACACCGACAATGTCATGTAACATCAATAGACATACACATTTACCAGAACAACACCGACAATGTCATGTAACATCAATAGACATACACATTTACCAGAACAACACCGACAATGTCATGTAACATCAATAGACATACACATTTACCAGAACAACACCGACAATGTCATGTAACATCAATAGACATACACATTTACCAGAACAACACCGACAATGTCATGTAACATCAATAGACATACACATTTACCAGAACAACACCGACAATGTCATGTAACATCAATAGACATACACATTTACCAGAACAACACCGACAATGTCATGTAACATCAATAGACATACACATTTACCAGAACAACACCGACAATGTCATGTAACATCAATAGACATACACATTTACCAGAACAACACCGACAATGTCATGTAACATCAATAGACATACACATTTACCAGAACAACACCGACAATGTCATGTAACATCAATAGACATACACATTTACCAGAACAACACCGACAATGTCATGTAACATCAATAGACATACACATTTACCAGAACAACACCGACAATGTCATGTAACATCAATAGACATACACATTTACCAGAACAACACCGACAATGTCATGTAACATCAATAGACATACACATTTACCAGAACAACACCGACAATGTCATGTAACATCAATAGACATACACATTTACCAGAACAACACCGACAATGTCATGTAACATCAATAGACATACACATTTACCAGAACAACACCGACAATGTCATGTAACATCAATAGACATACACATTTACCAGAACAACACCGACAATGTCATGTAACATCAATAGACATACACATTTACCAGAACAACACCGACAATGTCATGTAACATCAATAGACATACACATTTACCAGAACAACACCGACAATGTCATGTAACATCAATAGACATACACATTTACCAGAACAACACCGACAATGTCATGTAACATCAATAGACATACACATTTACCAGAACAACACCGACAATGTCATGTAACATCAATAGACATACACATTTACCAGAACAACACCGACAATGTCATGTAACATCAATAGACATACACATTTACCAGAACAACACCGACAATGTCATGTAACATCAATAGACATACACATTTACCAGAACAACACCGACAATGTCATGTAACATCAATAGACATACACATTTACCAGAACAACACCGACAATGTCATGTAACATCAATAGACATACACATTTACCAGAACAACACCGACAATGTCATGTAACATCAATAGACATACACATTTACCAGAACAACACCGACAATGTCATGTAACATCAATAGACATACACATTTACCAGAACAACACCGACAATGTCATGTAACATCAATAGACATACACATTTACCAGAACAACACCGACAATGTCATGTAACATCAATAGACATACACATTTACCAGAACAACACCGACAATGTCATGTAACATCAATAGACATACACATTTACCAGAACAACACCGACAATGTCATGTAACATCAATAGACATACACATTTACCAGAACAACACCGACAATGTCATGTAACATCAATAGACATACACATTTACCAGAACAACACCGACAATGTCATGTAACATCAATAGACATACACATTTACCAGAACAACACCGACAATGTCATGTAACATCAATAGACATACACATTTACCAGAACAACACCGACAATGTCATGTAACATCAATAGACATACACATTTACCAGAACAACACCGACAATGTCATGTAACATCAATAGACATACACATTTACCAGAACAACACCGACAATGTCATGTAACATCAATAGACATACACATTTACCAGAACAACACCGACAATGTCATGTAACATCAATAGACATACACATTTACCAGAACAACACCGACAATGTCATGTAACATCAATAGACATACACATTTACCAGAACAACACCGACAATGTCATGTAACATCAATAGACATACACATTTACCAGAACAACACCGACAATGTCATGTAACATCAATAGACATACACATTTACCAGAACAACACCGACAATGTCATGTAACATCAATAGACATACACCTTTACCTGTTCAACATACACAGTCACACTGTACAGTATAGTAAAAACGTCGTTTACTTCTACAAGTACCGTTGAAGTTTACATAATCATCATCTGAACACTTACTAGTACAACATATGCAACAGATCACAACTGTCATAGTCAAACATACTGGTAGAGAAACAAACATCTTCATACAACAGTTACAATTTGTAGTTTTTTTTAAGTTGCATTTGAAAAAGAAAATTCACAACGTAAAAATGATATTGAAATGTTCTTCATATTATTAAATACATATTTTTATTTATTGTATTTATTGTTGTATTTTTATTTTGCTTGACATGTTATCCTGCATAGTTTCGCTCAAAGCTGCAAATTTTCATACAATGTATGTACAGGTAAAGAAAACAAAATGTCTGTTTTATCTTCTTGCAGCCTAAGCTTGGTATAAGTAACGAAGGCGGTTCAATTGTGGAAGGTATCTTTACCTGTTACTTTACAAGACAGAAGGTTGTCACTGCGGACTCCTCGGTGTTTGACTTAAACAAGGACTGGCACCTCTTATTCGCTCACGGAACGGCCATGGCGGGTATGTGACCTTATACAAATTTGTGTTGGCAAGCTTAAATACCAATACGTCTTAAACGAATATAAGTTTGATTATTTGATCATTTTAAATTAACATTTCGGTTGTCTGATTAAGTCGATTCGTTCTGTAAAAGACGTAATATTGTATAATGTATAACGATAATGGTGCGATCTCTTTGACAAAGAGTTTCTGCATAGCTGAAATGGAAATACTCTCCTGATCACCTAGATTTGCATCGAGACTTATATGAGCTTGGATGACAGTTCTAGAGATTCAATAACATGACACTGTACAATGTATGTTTCAATTATGACGTAATGTAACGTCTCAAATCATTTTCAAACACTCAGATGCGTTCAGCGGTAGAGGTAGGTTGCGATTTCGTCCGGGTTTTGGCTTGCAGAGGTGATAGCAAGCTAACAGCTTTATATGGGCTAACATCCTTAGGAACACTCCCGATATATTTTGCAATGTATATAATAATAATATATAATTGCAAATGTTACTTATAAAGAAAACAAATCACACTGTAAGGATCCTGGAATCATTTTGTTGCGTATGCAATAACAGGTCTCCATGACATGCTAGCCGTATTTCCTTACCACACCTCTCCCTGTGCGCACATTTATACTAATATGATAATTCCTAATCAAACATCTATAATCATTTAATTGCTAACATGAACAGTCCTTCCTTTCACCATACTCGAATAACCCAATCGAATATACCACTAAAATTGGCTTTAACTAATGTATAACCCATTAGAATACCGTAAAAGTGGAAATGTTCGCGTCAAAACCCTATACACTGATCGCAGTGTAGACTGCAAATAATTCCACTTTTACAGCACGCTACTCAAATGTTAGATAATTAACCTAGATAATCTCTCTCAATCACCTCACTAAAACTATAGTAACAAGTTTAGATGTAGTAATGTAGTACGTTAATAAATCATTGGTTTATGTTAAAGTATATATATACTGTCTACGATGCTAATTCAGTTAATGCTAAATCATGACATATACTATATTTGCAAACTAGAACAATATTTCAGTAACGAAATTGTGTGTGCAGAGTTTCTTATTGATACCATTCAACTTAGTTAAATGACCCTGTCATTGATTTAATCATTAATTGCTAAATTAAATTTGAAATTGCCAAGAACTACATGCACGTAGCTATATTTTCCAGAACAATTTGTTGAAGGCACAACATCAAGTATTGTCTTGTACGCACACTGGAACTGAATAATGGTCACCTCATAAACTCTGGGTCAAACCTGTATCTGAAGGTTCATTAGGCCAAAGCATCATTTAATTGTTGCGATTCATTGGGATATACGTCTTATGACCAATATATATGTACACATGTATGTACATATACACACATGTATGTACATATACACACATTGAGTTTTCTATCAAAGACACCTGCATCTACGCTGCAAAATTCAAAGACAGTTATAATGACTTGATTTCGAGCAATGTCATTCTGTGTCCAGCATGATTAAAAATGGAAACCATAATATGTTACTTGAAACCCTTCCAAATCAACCGATTTGTAAGGCGTTCATTATTTCATTTATTTCCATATCCCCTTCGTTCTGTTTGTTGTCTTTTCGTGGTGTCATTTTTGTTTTCTTTTTAATTTCGTCTATTTAATTTGTTATATCCTTTTTTTGTGATCTGAACATGTTCAGTGGTTTTTAATAATATCATAGGGGAATCCATACAAGTGTAACCGTTACATGTGTAAAAGTTGATATTTTGAACAGGAATGAAGCTACCCCACATCTACAACCCAGCGCCCTACTCCTCTGTCGCCCGCGTGGATTTTCAGCGGTACCTCTTATGGGTGACGACAACAACGACAACCACGACAACAACCACGCCCATCCCAACCACCACAACTACTACTGTCGCCACTCCCACTACCACCACCACCACCACCACCACCACCACCACCACTACAGCTAGGCATAGCACTTCCACGATATTCTTGCCAACCACCAGAGTCACTGATGCAGTTACATCACAACCACCTATCACTATAACGACTGATCAGTTGACGGACGCCCCGACGTCACCTACCGTAACAGAGGGACAGGTACGTTTATAACGTTAGTGCAGGCGAATTCGTCACATTAGTAAGAGTTTCATTTAATAATTAGTCCAAATATACATGTATCAAAATGACGATGAGTACCAGTAGTACAGAAGAAGATATGACTGAAATGACTATCAATCAACATTGTTGTAAACACGCCTGAATGACGTCACACAGCAACATATGTGACGTCATCAGTCCTTCCGTGGTTTTGCTTAAAGGTCTAGGCAGTTTCCCCACATTCAAATATTTCACGAATTTGCAAGTAATGTAAGTGTTTAAATGTAAAATTTTGTATGTTTATGTTACACAAGTTGTACTGATACGAACAGCTCCAAATGTGTGTGTGTAAAAATGTTCAACATTGAAATAAATGGCTTTACTTAGTTGTGATAGTTAATTTTTGGTAAATTAAAGAAACTGATTAATACTGTTTGATTAAGATGGCTGGGACCGGCTGAGATGAGGTTAATTTACATGCATCGCAATAAAGACTCAGTCCTGAACAAATATAAACTTCCAATTCGGTGCCCAAAATTATATTTTTCATCGGATGCGGATGAGAGGGTGCAGCTAGGGCTTTCAACGGTCGTCTTAAGCTTTTTCCCCGACTTTTGGATAATTTGTCACATACATGTAGCATCTCCGATCGTCTTGCACGTCAACGGGAAACATATCTGACAAATCAATATTAAGAGCATGTCTTCCATAAAACCTTGCAAAATCGTCCAGATGCAATATTCTCCAAATTGATTCATAATTGGCACACATGTTGCTTATGATAAAACAACTTCTCATGTAATTTATTTTTTCAAAAATATTGAGCCACTTGGATTTTATGGTACAAAATCTAAAAATAGATTATTGCATAAAAAAATTATTCATTTTCAAGACAAATTAAGGTATTTTGAACGGATTTTTTTCCTTACAGTTACTTAGTAATTGTTATTCATACATTAACTACTTTAAATATCATCTTTTAACTGGGAAAATATAATGAAACATTAAAGGTATAAGCTTTTATAATCATCAAATATTCTATCTCAATATGACACATATTCAAAAATTGCTGACTCCGCAAAATTTACCACATTTCTACAGCTCAGAAACTCTAAGGTCGGTATTTTTTTCAATAAAACCATTTTTTTAGTAAAACTTGCTCATTAAACTAAAAAAATTGAAAAATCCAGTGACGGCAAATAATCACAGGATGTGAAATCAATAATTCAAAAAGGAATATCTATGATATTTTGTTGTTTTCAGTAATTTTTAGCAGGCTATTCACTCTGGTATGCTCTAAGATGTACTGTTGTGTCCTTACCAAAGTCATAAATGTTATATAGAACAGTGTTGTCTTGGTATCTATTTGATTTTTCACATAGTCTATGAGAAAAATTGGAGAAATCCCATTTAGCCATGATCGTCTGCAGTCTGACATATCTTTCATTTGTCTAGTAGCAGTGTACAGTTGCGTACGATGGCCATGGGTGATATTTTTATACAATGAATAACACCTGTAATATAACATGTATCAAAATTCAAAAAAAAAAAAAATCAGCACTAAAATTGGCATATAGATGATGAAGTGGACTATGTGGGCTTCAAAAAAATAAAAATCGAATTTGGTTTGAGACTACAGTTTTTGCCATTTACAAATCTGTGTCTACACAACAAAAGCTAGCTTTTCATGTAGTCTATTTTTGTACTCAGCACATGTGTAAATATTTTTAAAAATCCACTGGAATTACCTATGCTAAAACGTGAGTATTTCTGTTACCGAGTAGACGATATTTAATTTCAGACAGGTTTTAAGAAAAACAATTCTACTTGCGGGAGTTTTGGGTTAAAAATCATGATTCTTTGCATATTTTTTTTTTTTTTTNGAATTCACTATTCATGTTTATGTGAGACATGCCCTTTATATTTAGGGTCAAGCCATTTCTACTGTACACTGCTACCTCTGCACCACTGTATTTGAAGAGTTCCGGGAAGGGAAATAACTCTTTTTGAAAGCACTCAAATACTGTTGCTCATTTCTTTTCTTATAATACACTGTTGTTTTTTACAAATATTGTTTTAGATACCACATTTTATTCTACCTTTACATTTGAATTATTCTTTATACTTTCTTATAAAATGTATTCATAAATAAAGGTTTTTAAGCATGAAATTCCAAATAACACACTATCGCAACATCAAAAGGATCAATAAAATACCAAATGTGTCTGAAGAATCAAATTAATAACACATTTATTTTTTAAAGAACATAAACTTATTTTAAAGGTCGATATTTTTTCATTATTTGAACTGTAAAAATGTCAAAATTGTGGCATTAAATCCTTATTAAATTACAAATAAAGGTGAAATTTCAGTGCAAATGTATGCACATTTCATCCATAAATTGCTATATTGAATTGATTTTTTATAATTTATAAATTTTCTGCAAACAATCATCTAACTCTTCAATTATGTTTCAACAATTAGTCTTGAGTTTGACTTATTTTTCCAAGGTACTTTTATGTTTTTTTCTCAATTTTTGACAAGTTCAATTGAGATTTTCAACTTATTCGTATATCAACTGTTACTAAAAATAGATACATAATTTATGATTTTTTATTGATTATTTTTAACTCTGATATGTTATCATTTACAGTAAACAAACTGGTTGCGTTATATTAAAAACACCCATCTGGACGTTTTTTCCCATTTTGCATGGTTTTATGGAAGACATGCTCTTAATATGATTGCTTTTGGGCTGGAAAACTTATTCAACAGAGACTGCCCCAGATGTTGTAACTGTACTTACTTTTTCATGTAAAAAGCAGTCTTTGGTAACTGTCGGTCTCTTGACCTAATCATCAGCGATTGTACAGCAGTACGTACTTGTACTTTCAGGCCGACAACAAGTTCTTTTCAAATATGATTCAAACAAATTTCTAGATGGTATTTAAGTTAAGTGTTGAAAGATGGCTGAATGTTTGACGTAAACAATATGTTCAAAAATATACTGGTTGATTGTTTTCTAAATACATATTGCAAGAAAATGGAAAATAAATTATCAAATCTTTCTTAGCGTAATTTCAATAAACAAGCATTAGGTCGTCAGTTTACATGGTATATACCAAAGAACATTTGTATGTAGAAAAACAATTTACTTGCATTGACGGCTCAGTCGACAATGAAACTGCAATTAGCGTTGAGATATGGCAATTTTCAATTTGTATGGAATGCATTTACACTAAATAACAACGAACAGGCCTTTAATGCGGTACGTTGACGAGATGTCCGTCACACACACCAAATTTTTAAGATTCGCTGCGTTACAAGATATTTCATAACTGTTTTGATTAATAAAGTAACTTTTCCCTCTTCCACCTCTTCTTGTCAAAATATTTGAAGCTTTAACTGTGTTGAAGACTATGGTGATGTTATTTACGTCACATCTTATGTATTATGACGTCATATGGCATTTTCGTCACGGGGTGGCGAATTTGGGTGCATGGCGAATTCGTCTGCACTAACGTTAGGTCAATGACGTCAAAAGCACATTGCTGAACAAGAACGAGTTAACGACTCCTAAGTGTGAGAAAGAAAGAAAAGAAAGAAAAAATTGGTAATTCTCACAGGGAAATACACGAGTACACCTTATATAAAGAACCATTTTACAAGGAAATTTCATTCTAAGGAGGCTTTAATATTTATGGAATGGAAAGGTCTGTAGTTACGGATTTACTCTACTTCAGTCTGGTGACTTAACAAATGATCTGGCGTGCGGTTTGACGAAAGGCTGTTACCAACAGTGTACTGGCGATATATGCCACTTTATTGTGTCCTGGAAGGATATGGGGGACGTTATTGACTTCGAGTTGAAATCTCGAGTAGCGGCAACATCCGACAGATGGATTGCAGTCGGCTTCTCAAACGACGGAAATATGGTAACATGATATATTCTACTGAAGCACGTCTGGTGGTGAGGTGAAGGTCACTAGTCTTGTAGCATGGAGAGACAGGTGACGGTGGATATTTACTTGAGGTTGATTGTTGGGATAGGTGGTGGGTGAAATATTTGGTGGTACCAGAAGAGAGGTGACGGTGAATATTTGCTTGAGGTTAATTGTTGGGATAGGTGGTGGGTGAAATACTTGGTAATATCAGAAGACCGGTGATGGTGAATATTTGCTTGAGGTTTATAGCTGAGATTGGTGATTCGTGGCAGTTAATGGTGACTAGAAGACAGGTGACGGTGAAAGGTTACATGAAATTTGTCGACTAGTTTGTAATAATTATGATATGTGAAACGATTTTATAGGAATAAAAAGAAAAACAAATTATGTTTTCGATGATAAAAACAGTAAAATGATGTTTAAAATGACAGCAAAAAGAAAAAGAAAATTTCAAATTAAATCTTATCTCGAAATAGTTGTGATATTGTTTAACATTGTTCATATTGTTAATATTGTTGTTCAAAACTGCACGGGGGAAAGTTGGTCAGGAATCATGCTGAATTGAAAGCATTTCATTATACTAGAACTTATGGTAGTGTTGCATGATGCTTCAAATCAATAGATTAAATGGCTTAGTTTGTAAAATCAAACCGGTGACCTTTACTTACAGGGCACGGACAGTGTGGTCGAATGCTTAATGGACGGTGGTATCCTGGAAGTCCAGCACTCGTACAATCACGACGACAAAACAAACCACGTGTTGTCCGAGGTATGAACTGCATCCTTTGCTTTGTTGTATATCAGGAACAATTTGTTCAAAGACATGTTTACAAAATCTTAGTGCAAAATGTTTCGTCTGTCGACATTCAAAAACATATATAAGGATTCAAAATCACTTCCTGAAGAAAAAGAAAAAGAAAAAACAACAGAATAGTATGTACGTATTTAGATGTACAAGGTGTTAAATCATATATCCGCCGTTTGTTGCAGCCCGGGGTTGGCCTGAGTAACATCGGGGGTCGTCTGGAAAACGGTCTGTTCACATGTCGCTTCACTAGGGACAAGGTTGTACCGGGTCACTCCAATATCTTTGACCTCAACAAAGACTTCCACATCATATTTGCCGAGGGACGAGTAGAAAACGGTAAGTTTCGTATATAACAGAAAATATCTACTAGGTTTAACATCCTCAGTCGACAGAACATATACTATGAATGCTGGATATTTACACCTAGCTTATTACAATTTGGTAAATTAACAATTTTTTCATTAAATGCGACAACTTTAAACTTATTTTTCTGTTTTCAATGGACTTCTTTCGTATTTCAAGCAGAAAACACAAGCATATGAAAAGCTGTTATTGCAAATATAAGAACTGAAGTGTTTAAGTTGACGTTCTGTGTAATTATGTATATCCTTGGAATGAAAGGAATATGTAACTCGAAGCGTGTTTTCGATTGTCCTTTTATACGGGGGACATTTTTATGATGAACAATTGAAAGCACTACATTATCTTACTGATCTTATTATTTATTATAGTAGAAGTTCTGTATGATAAAATGTAGTTGCATACATGACATGGTATAATCATGACAATATCACGGTAGATTACATATTATTGTTAAAAAAAACCCCGTCATCTTAACTAACGATGTCATTGTAATGAAATATTCTGCAGATCCAGGTTATACCTCGAATGTGACATAGATGTATAAAGCGTAAGATGTTTTGCAGAAACAGGACGAATGATACCCTAAACAACACAACTAATGTTGCTGTAGACAACAACACGACTAACGTTACTGTAGACAACAACACGACTAACGTTACTGTAGAAAACAACACGACTAACATTACTGTAGACAACAACACGACTAACGTTACTGTAGACAACAACACGACTAACGTTACTGTAGACAACAACACGACTAACGTTACTGTAGACAACACAATTACAGCTACTCCTGACAACGTGACTACTATTACTATAGACAAAACACAACTTATTTTACCGAAGATAACACGATTAACGTTACTGCTACTCTTGACAACGTGACTGCTATTACTGTAGACAAAACACAACTTATGTTACCGAAGACAACACAAATTACGTTACTGTAGAAAATACAACTATTGTTATTGTAATCAACAGGGCTAACGTTAATCTAGAAAACACAACTTGTGTTACCATAGACAACAGGGCTAACGTTAATCTAAACAACACAACTTGTGTTACCATAGACAACAGGGCTAACCTTAATCTAAACAACACAACTTGTGTTACTGTAGACAACAGGGCTAACGTTAATCTTAACAACACAACTTGTGTTACCTTAGACAACAGGGCTAACGTTAATCTAGACAACACATCATGTGTTACTGTAGACAACAGGGTAACGTTAATCTAAACAACACAACTTGTGTTACCATAGACAACAGGGCTAACGTTAATTTAAACACCACATCCTGTGTTACTGTAGAAAACAGGGCTAACGTTAATCTAGACAACACATCTTGTGTTACTGTAGACAACAGGGCTAACGTTAATCTAGACAGCACATCCTGTGTTACTGTAGACAACAGGGCTAACGTTAATCTAGACTACACATCCTGTGTTACTGTAGACAACAGGGCTAACGCTAATCTAAACAACACATCCTTTGTTACTGTAGACAACAGGGCTAACGTTAATCTAGACAACACATCCTGTGTTACTGTAGACAACAGGGCTAACGTTAATCTAGACAACACATCCTGTGTTACTGTAGACAACAGGGCTAACGTTAATCTAGACAACACATCCTGTGTTACTGTAGACAACAGGGCTAACGTTAATCTAGACAACACATCCTGTGTTACTGTAGACAACAGGGCTAACGTTAATCTAGACAACACATCCTGTGTTACTGTAGACAACAGGGCTAACGTTAATCTAAACAACACATCTTGTGTTACTGTAGACAACAGGGCTAACGTTAATCTAGACAACACATCCTGTGTTACTGTAGACAACAGGGCTAACGTTAATCTAGACAACACATCCTGTGTTACTGTAGACAACAGGGCTAACGTTAATCTAGACAACACATCCTGTGTTACTGTAGACAACAGGGCTAACGTTAATCTAGACAACACATCTTGTGTTACTGTAGACAACAGGACTAACGTAAATCTAAACAACACAACTTGTGTTACTGTAGACAACAAGGCTAACGTTAATCTAAACAACACATCTTGTGTTACTGTAGACAACAGGGTTAACGTTAATCTAGACAACACATCCTGTGTTACTGTAGACAACAGGGCTAACATTAATCTACACAGCACAACTTGTGTTACTGTCGACAACACGACTAATTCATCAAGAAAACACGACTAATTTATCGAAGACAACACGACTAATGTAACTAGAAAATGCAAATAATGGTCATGTAGACTATACGATTAATGCTGTCGTAGACAACATTGTTGCATTATAACTGTTGAGATTATATTACAGGTGAAAAGATCCGTCACAGCCTATTGACCCTCCCGTCCGTGTCGGGAGAGAAGGTGGACTTACAGCAACAAATCCTCATTACCAGCGAGGCCTCCTACTTCCTCGTCAAAGTCCATGGTACAGAACAATACTGATGTGTTTAGATATCTAACTTTTATGGTCTGCTATTGAGAACAATAGAAAAAGAAAACGTTTAAATTTATATCAAGCTGAATCACGTTACACTCATATTGAAGTTGATTGTGCTTTAATCCCATTGCATTTCACTACATTACACTTTACTCACATTACACGGCATTCATAATACACTGTATTTAAATTACATTGAAATCATATTTTCAGGTTGTTTGATGATTTTTGCATGGATTTTCTGCGCCAGTATCGGAATCGTCACCGTCCGATTCTACAAGAAGATATGGCCTGATAGAACTATCTGTAGAGAGCGTATTTGGTATCAGGTATATAATTTTACATTAAATTTGACACCGTGGTTATCCATATACACTGCCGATTCGGAGATACCCCGTGTAGCCCAATTTCTGACGCATAATGTTTTCTAGATATCTGTATTGACCTGCATGTAAACCACATAATGGTTTTGTAGATAATTCGTATTGTATGGTTCTGATTTTAACACACATACAATTGTTTTGTAGATGTAGAATATTTATATTACACTTGTAAGTTTTGTTCATTTTGGGGTTTTACGATGTATTTCGGTATTCACTTGGTTATTACATACCTGCTGTTTTATGAAGTAAGGTAAGTTGTTTCTGCTGGCCTATGATTCTAACACGAGTTGGTTTATAGGTTTATAATATGTCCTTGGTTTTATCAGATATGCTGTTATGTTATTGCTTTCCAGTTTCATTGTGGTCCTTGTTGTAGTATTCCGGCTGTTGTTGTCCTTGTTATAACGAACAAACTGTTTTTTTAGGTACACCGTTTCTGTATGATCCTGGTTGTTCTCTGTGTTTTGGTAGCCGTCGTGATTATTTTCGTGGACATAAAAGGATTCAGCAAGGTAAAATAACACCGGATCAGCGAAGTCGAAATCTATGATACAACGGGTGAAAAAAATGATATAGTAATATGATATTATTTCGAGAAAAAGTGACTGCAACAATAAATAAGTGAAAAATACAAAACTGCTACGATGTTCTTAATGCATAAAAGGAAAAAAGGATATTGAGAAAATGTGACATAAAGTCTTAATCAAAGCTATAACATAATATCATCTACATCAGTGTAAACCTTTGATGTATTGCTTTACTACAAGACATTTTTTATTTGATTTACAGATTGACGGGAAGACTTTTCACAAAGCACATCCCGTCCTCGGGATCCTTGTGACACTGTTTACAATAGCAAATGTAAGTAATGCAAATCCTTTTAACGTTTCCTTTGGTGACGGGAATAAATATTGAAATTGCTCCAAGATATACCAATACACAAAAGTTCAGTTCGCAAATTGCAGTAACCTGTATAATACCAAGAACGGTGTTAGAACTGGTCTTCTTATTGTTTGTCATATAGCGTCACAGTAAAGAGATGCACAAACTTGGACAGTCCCTAGGATGTTTGAATTCTGTCTTGAGGCATTTCTTCAATTTTTGTTGACAAAGTTTTAAAACCGTTTTACGATCAAATCTTTAAAGTATGTCTTCAGTGTATTTAGCATTCCTTCTCTTGTTTCCCCATTTAATGTTAATGCTTCACTTTCCCTGAAAATAGCCAATAGTAGCGGTGTGCAGACCGCTGCCTGGAACCGTGAAGAGAAAGATATTTAACTGGATCCACTGGGGCCTTGGATCCTCCGCGCACATCCTCGCAAGTACGGCAATTATATTTTAATGGAATATTTTCCTATAACTTAATGACAAACAAACAAAATTACGAAGAGGAATAACTTTAGTATGATTGACATTAATGTACTAATTGTGATAAACAGGATAAACGTTGATTTAATCATTATTTAGAAATCACTTAAAGCCTAAGGAGGCATGGTAATCTTGTGGTAGGACGCCAGGCTCGTGACCGAAGGGTTGCAGGTTCGCGTCACGTCCCGGCACTGTATTGTACTTATTCACAAGATTATACTCCGCTTGATCCAGTCTACTTAGCTGTAAATGAGTACGTGGTAGGGCAGTGCTGGAATGCAAGCTGTGAGCGCCTAAATGGCAGCACCGACTGTTTGCTCCCCAGGGAGTTGTGAAAATATTGGTTGGTCGCAACGGCCCAATAACCACGAACAATAATTTGTGAACCGCTTTGAGACGAATTAAAAACTATGTTGTGATAATTATTATTTACATAAGCATGAATATTGTCTATGATTTTTCAGTAATCAATATTTTTGCGGGAGTGGAGTTGAGTAAATCCGGAGCCCCGTCCTACATGAAGTATGCATTGCTAGGTTACGTGACTTACCTTATTCTGATATATCTGCTATTGGAGCTTCACCAGTGCATCGCCAACAAATCAGGTAATAACACAAGAGATGCGTCCAATGTGTAGCCCATATATCAGCTAATTATAATACAGATACTAATTAACAGTATAGATAACAAAAGATAGTTCAAATGTATAGCGCCAGGGATACAGGCAAACATACTTTGGAGCCATAGTATATTCAAAGTCAAACAACGCGTGGTTCTTACGTTTGTCTTTATTTAATCTACCAAAGTTATGGCTCAATTCTGTGACGCCTTTATCGTAATATTGAATACTCCTTGTGGAAGATGGCTTCTTTATATCTTGGAAAATAACCCATGATATATACGGTTTAACTTTCGCTTAATGATACGTTTGATAACGAAAGCCTATTAATAATGTCCTGCGGGCTAACAATATTGAATGGTTTATCATACACCTTTTCGGAACTTAAATTCACTTGGATTTTTAAATGTTTTCAGAAAACAAGAGAAACCAGACATATCTATATGAAATGCACAGAAAACCTTACAACAACAACAACAGAACAACGAACGTAGCCATGGATCTAGAACCACCGGTAAGTGTATACTGTAGAAATATAACAACCTGTCAGATATATAGGATCTTGCATGAGTTTCCGTTTCATATGATAATTATGAAACGAGTCTAAGAATTTTTCAATTTAGCGAGACTCCAGCGAGCTAAAATGAAAAATTCGTGACGAGTTTCATAAATTTCATCTGAAATAAAAAAACGGGGTAAGATACTTTTTATCACAAAATCAATATTTGTGGCAGTTATTCGTGTAAAACGGTAATTTTCATGCAACATTGAAATGTAAAAAGCCGCCATTTTGACTCGAGGCATAAGTTTGTGACGTCATGTACTTGTCCTAGGCGTGACGTCACAATTGAAACAATTGAAACTTACAACCAATCACAGGGCTGATAGGTCATATTACATGGGTTAATATTCACTTGATAACACAGTACATTCCTTTTAAGTATTCTAATAAGTCTTTGTCATTGGTTTACAGTACAGCAAAATGAAGAAGGCCATCATGGGATCGCACATCCTTATAACTTTTGCCGTCACTCTCGTTTTCGTCATTATCATCATCATCAGCTGAGAAAACTGGCTTTAAACATCTGTGAAAAGAAACATTTGGAAACAACACGAGTCAGGTTACATCGTCATTTGTCGGTAGTCCGTGATGGTTGTTTAGTGATGTGGATGTTTCCCTCAATGGTGTCTACCACTGTCGGTATCGTTGGATGTGTGGAACACGATCTCTGTACCGTACAGAAACAGAGTTTAAACTCAGTTGATCCAAAGTGCTAATAATTATATCAACAATATGTCAATTACTTCGAAAAGTCCATTGTATGTAATACCTACGCAGTAATTAGTAATTACATAGATCATGATCAATTGCTTATGGAATGACGACACTTGTTGAATGCGTAAACTGAGTAATTCATAAGCTATGTGTACAACCAACCTAGCTAAATGCGCGTGTTACTTGATAATATGACCAAATATAGTGTTGTCTTAAAAGCTGATTATGTGCGTTAACTGACGTCAATACCAAGCGCAAAGCTACGGAGTGTTGCTCAACGACCATTTGCGTACAGCATTGCCCAAGACGGCACAACCAAATACAGCATTGCTCGGGCGCCTGTGAAAGTGTCGCTGCTTTTGGTGCTGACGTGTGACAGCGACACATCTGTCTAGAAACATTGTGATTAAACATCGTCTTTAACAGTATCGCCTTCGATTAGATTTAAAAGGTTGCAGTGTACCACTTATAAAGTTTCTGTACTTAAATGTACTTATAAAGAATATGTTTTTGTGTAACTATGCTTTACACCTTGTTGGGGACAAGATCACATATCTGATATATGTACAAATGTTGTTTTATTATACCGTTCAGTAACTTATATAAATGGAAGTGTTTCGTAATGTTAGTGTATGATAATGTTAAGAAATACCATTTAATATTTACGGTATATTAATGCTATAGTACAATAGTATACAGTGATATAGCATTGAATAGTTCCGTATATAGTTGGTATTGTGTGATATTGTATAGTAACAAAACTGACATTTTACTGTATATAGTGGTAAGAAGATATTTTACAGTAACAAAACTGAAATGTGACTGTATATTGATGTTATATGATATTGTAGAGAAACACAACTCAAATGTTACTGTATATTGATTTAATTTGATATTGCATAGTAACAAAACTGAAATGTTACTGTACATATATATTGATGTTAAATGATATTTTACTGTAGCTTAACTGACAAGTTACCGTATAATGATGTCATATATTTATGGTATATGATATGTTAACTGTTATACAATGTAACTGGATATTAACTTGACAGTCAAAACAAGTAACAGTAAATAGGTCACTTAATCTACAAGTATGTGTAAGAACATGTTAGGGAAACTATTGAAAACGTGTGTCCAGTGTTTTTAATTTATTTCTGTTATGGAATGTGTTATATATTATTTGTTTGAATCGAATGTGAACTCGTGGAAGATAAAAGATAGGTATGAATGATTTAATTTTGTGTGAGTCTGACGTAAGGTGTGAAAAATGTAATCAGTCCATGAATGGTTTTGTTATAATTTATTGAAAGTTGCTTTGCATATTAAAATCTGCGAATAAATATCAATATTGGCTTTCGTTTTGAATTTTCGCGACACAAATCGTTGAGTAAATCCTGTTACTCAATAATCTGTAAAACGGCTTCCTGCAGCCATTTTATGTTTATGTTAATTTGCCCATAAACATGAGCAATACAGGTGAGTATACCTGGGTGAACTCTGCATTAAGTTAATTAGCTTTGTCTAGATCAGACGACGAGATCTTGAAAATATGTCTGTTTACAGTAACACAGAATTTCGATGATTCTTAAATTGAATCAACCGTTGATAAACAGCAAATATTTGGGTCAGTCGATCACTCTTCTCTTAGGTAGACAGTGCTTTACTGGACATATAAAAAGGGGTATGTGCTGATATCCTTATTGGAAAAGACCAGAAGAAACAAGGTTCTTGTCAAAGCACAAAAACTGTCGTTGTGTCTGAAAGTAATTATTGGTCATTACTGACAAGTAGTTGATTTACAGTCTCTTGGATTGATGAACTATTTTATTATCTGGGATTATATAATTTGGGTTGTTCAACATATCGTCCTTGGCAATGCATTTCGGGTTATTCGACTTGTCGTCATATACAATGTATTTAACCCTTTCACCCCTAGGTAACTTTAGTGGACTCTACCTTGCATTTATTGGGATGAGTCCATTATGGCCTACAGTTGTGAAAGAGTTAAGGTTATACAACCTGAACACCTGTAAACCTGTTCTTCAGTTCCAATATGCTGTCATTGACTCTTCTATTTAGAAAACTATTCAGGATCGTATACAAAGGTATGTGTCCAATTGATTTTAAAATTTATAAGTGTTTCAAGATCAAGTTTTTTTGACATTCTTCTTAATAGTTCCTAAACTTTCTTAAAGGGTCTCTGTTTAAGCGTTCAGCTATTTCATCAAGTATTTTGTATCAGTTCCATATACAAGCAGCATCCTTCTGTATATAATCAGGTAGCAGTATACAGTAGCGTACGGTGACCATGGGTGATATATTTGTACAATGAATAACCCCTGTTATATTAGCCAGCACTAAAATTGGCATGTACTTGATGAAATGGACTATGTGGGCTTCATAATTTTTCAAGATTTTTTTGATTTTTTTGGTTTGAGACTACAGTTTTTTGCCATTTGCAAATCTGTGTCAAAACAACAAGAGCTAGTTTTTCATGACCTTTACTAAAATGTAAGTATTTCTGTTACCGAGTAGGTAATATTCGGTGTTTTTTATGTGGTAAACAAGGTTTTCACTAGTCCGATAGCTGGGGAAACATTTCATGAAAAAAAAAACATTCTTCTAAAAAAATGTATTCAATATTATAAAGTCTATAAATACACTGTATATTATATATGTGTGTAGGCGTGTTGTGTAGGATGAATCCACTATTTATGTTTATCTGAGACATGCCCTTTAATTTTTGGATCAAGCCATTTCTACTGAACTATTCTATCTCAATGTACATATATGCTCGCGCTAATGCTTTGGGTGGTCGGGTGGCGTAGTGGACAGCGCACTCACCTCTCACCAAGACTGTCGGGTTTGATTCCCCGATCGAACGTAAACAGATATTCGGTCACCCGACCCCGACCACGTGAGCATTCTCCCAAATTAAGACCCCATACGGGCAATTAATGTAAGTTGATCGAATTTGTTGTAATTATTGTAAAATATATAAAGTTTAATCAATGCTTTGATGGAAAAGTTGTTTGAACATTATTTCATGTAAGCATAACAATTACCTCCTTATTAATTAAAACTTCACATGAATTTTTTACTTTGAGCTTTATTATAATATGCTATATTACCTTTATTGCATTCTAACTGGTCCCATTTTGACTAACTGTTTAAGGATCCCTGTTCCCCTGCAGGCAAAACACTAGATAATCTCACTGTAGTGTTTCATACATACAGTTACCTCCACTTAACTTTCTTTTAGATACACAATATGTAACTGTTCTGCAACAAATGATAGGTCAGGGCTTTACTACCGATCTGTTAGCTCCGTTGTTCAGAGCGACGGTGTTGTATCCGGAGGTCCAGGGGTCCAATCCGCGGGCTGGTCCTGTTTATACATATCTTATTGCCGTAAGTATAATAAAGCAAAGGGATTCTAAAGGCACAATATACATGAACATTATGGACGCCTTTTCCCTATGTAAACCAGTATCATATATATACAATGATAGATGGCTAGGTGTAACGTAATATCAAATTCTAGTTATAATGTGAAAAACAAAGAGACAGACAGGCAATCAACACATTCATGACTTCAAAAACAGACAGACTGATATGCAGACAGACAGACAGACACATTAACAAATGAAATACAATTTAATTCGGGCGAAAGAAAAGAGAGAGGGTGTGTGTGTGTGTGTGTGTGTGTGTGTGTGTGTGTG